TTCAGACGATTGAGGTTGCTGTTGAAGCAATGTGGGCTGTTTCCTTCTTTGATATACCAATTCAGGTGTTACAATCTTCCGTATCTCTGGTGTACTTGATGTATCAGTCATAGGAGGATCAGTCACAGGAGGATCAGACATAGACACATTAGGAACAGGAACAAGAGGAAGAGACACTGACACAGGTGAAGGAGTAGACACTGAAGATTCAAAGAAGGAAGGTGATGAGTCTTCTGGTGAATTATTCTCCCCCTGAAGATGAGGACCTTGGAAAAAGGACTCAGATTCCTGAAATGTAACATCCATAGAAACAAAAAATTTCCGACTTCCAGGGTGATAGCACTTGTAGCCCTTCTTATCAGGAGCATATCCAAGGAAGACACATTTAAGAGCCCTAGGATCCAACTTACTGCGATGCTGTTTATGAATATGAACAAAGACAACACACCCAAACACTCGAGGAGGAAGACTTTGCAAAGTTGGAACAGAAGGAAAAAAAGAAGTCATGGAGTGAATAAGACTTACATGATCGAGAACCCGAGTGGGTAGACGATTGATCAAGAACGCTGCAGTAAGAATGGCATCTCCCCAATAGCATTTGGGTACATGTGTTTGAAACAGTAAGGCACGAGCAACTTCAAGAAGGTGACGATTTTTCCTTTCAGCAACCCCATTTTGTTGAGGGGTGTCTACACAAGTAAGTTCATAAATCATACCTTGATTTTGTATAAATTGGGAAAAAGAGTGATTGACATATTCAATACCATTATCTGTCCTTAGTCTTTTGATTTTTTTACAAAATTGAGTCTCAATCATTTTATAAAATTGGAAGAACAGTTGTGGTACCTCAGACTTTTCACGCATTAAGTAAACCCAAGTTACACGAGTGCAATCATCAATAAAAGAAACAAACCATTTATTTCCAGAAGAATGAGGGACCTTAGAAGGACCCCAAACATCAGAATGAATAAGATCAAAAGGTTCAACACTCTTAGTAATACTAGAAGGAAAAGACACACGATGATGCTTAGCAAATTCACAAACATCACAATGAAAAGACTCAACAGACTTAGACAAAAACAATGACGGAAATAAAGATTTGTAAACTAAATGGAGGATGACCCAAACGCTTATGATGCAGCCAAATTAAAGAATCAGCAGTTGATTGACCATGAGATATGAAGGTGTGATCTGTTACTTTATTTGCGGGAGATTGTGACACCAGATAGTACAGCCCACCTTGCTCTTTAGCACTACCAATCGTCTTCCTCGTGGCGAGATCCTGAAAAACACAATGGGTAGGGAAGAAGGTTACAGTACAATTCAAATATTTTGTAATTTTGTGAATAGAAAGAAGATTCGTGGAGAGTTTAGGAACATGAAGAACATCCTTAAGATGTAAGGACTGCTGTAAGTTTATGTCACCAGAACCCGCAACTGATGTATGTGAGCCATCAGCTATGGATATTGTATGAGTTCCAATGGTAGGATGATAAGAAATAAAGGAGTCAGCACAACAAGCCATATGATCAGTAGCACCAGAATCAACAACCCAAGAATGTTTAAAATCATTACACGAAGAAATGAAAGAATGAGTTTTGGAGCTCATACCAGTCATAGCCAAAGCACTAGTATCAGATGGCTTACTCAGAAAATCAAGAATGGTTCGGAATCGTTCCAACTCATCTGGACGAAATGCAGATTGGGTCTCATTAGGTGCAGGGGTTATTTCAGAAGAAGTAAAATGCGCTTGACCACGCATCCTTGCCATCTTTTCTAAGACAGTTTGCTTTCCATAAAGGCGAAAACATAAATCCTTGATATGACCTGTTCTTTTACAATAAGAACACCATCGATCATCTCTCTTAGGTCTAGAAGAGGTACCATCATAAAATTTTGAAAAATAACTCCTTTGAGAAGAGGCCATACTGCACAGAAAATGGTCAAAGAAAAGCTCCAAGAAGCCAAAAAATCACAAATAAATACCAAATGATGTCCGATCAAAGAGAGGAGCACAAATCCAGAAAGAGGATGAAGGGACGATCAAGATCGCGGTGGTCCGATCCAGAAAAATGGTCTCACGCGCCGGTGAGATTGGCTGCGCATGGGCTTCACTCGCGGTTGAATGAGCGGCGCATGCGGTGGCCGTCCGGTCTGAAATTTCTGGAGCAACGTCGTCCGGTGAGCGCGGTTCTTTCTGGGTCTGTTCAGAGTTGAAAAACCACCGGGAAAGGGTCCAATCGTGATGAACAGATGCTGTCTTGTGATGAAGAATAACAGAGACGATGAACAGTAACAGAGATCCAGTATAACAGAGATCTTCTCGGTCCATGAGGTCCCCGGAAAAAATCCGGTGGCGGCTGATGGCAGCGAGAGACAAAAAGAATAAAAGGTTCTTGTTCTAAAGACAATAGGCGCGGAAGCAGAGCCCTCAGGATCGAGAGCTCTGATACCAACTTGAAAGAAAAGGGTATTTGAAATATTATTGAATTGTGTATTAATCTGATACAAAGAGGTCTCTATTTATAGAGACTAAAAAACCTAATTCTTGACCTAATGGGTTTGGCCCAATACAACAAATACTAATAATAATAAAAGACCTAATATTTATAACACAATATCTACACCATAAAAGCAGGGCATTATACCTATTGCAGGTTATTAAATTTGCACGCAAGTTTGGTTGTTAGTATCTTTGCTAATTGATGCTCACGCACTTGCATTCGATTTTCATGTATGTAAAAGTTGTACAAGATCAATTGATCAAAACACATCTCCGATGGATTTTAGCCCATCCAGTTACCAAGTGTTTTGTGAACTAAAATGAAAAAAATTCTGTGAAAAAGCCTAATTAAGTATTTATTTCGAAGATATGAAATTGAAATTGATTGGGTCCAATTAATTGTGAAAACTAAGTCTTAAGTGGATTAAAAGCTAGGGACTAATTTGTAGCTTTCATTAAGTTTAGAAATAAAAAAAATTAAAAAGAAAAAACAACCAACAAATTAAAAAGCTAGGTCGCTTAAGTCCTTTCCTCATGAAATACGATCCACTTGCACTCTTGTCTTCCTATTTGCGCTGCAGAAAACAGAGTAGGGAGGGAATTCCATGGAAATGAAAGCAAACTCTTCACCTTGTAGATTTAGCCATTTTTAGATCTAGGTTCATTCACAAAAAGGAAAGCCTTTGGTCTTGTGATAAAAGCCCAATCCTTAGATCATCTTTTAAGGCTCTTAATCCTTTGTTCTACCTCCATGAAACTTGCGGTCACTATTCATCCAAGGGTGTAAATGGTGAGTTCTAGCTAGTTGAGTTGAAGCTTGGAGATTAATCTTGTGAAGAGTTAGAAAGAATCCAAGGTAAGAAAATCTATTTGTAATGGATGATTCCTTTGATTCAAACTTAGATTTTCTTGTGTTTTGGGTTGACTAGTGTAACGCCTCGTCTGCAGCCGGTTAATTAACATCTATATGATAGTAAGCGTAGCAAGCTCAACTTAATTAATGCAGAAGCTAACTAAATAAATATTCTCTTTTTCCTTATGTATTGCAAACTTTCTTCAATTCCATGGCCAAAGTAAAACAAATAGCATTTCGTCTGTATTTTGGACCACTGAGGATAATTCCACTACGATAATTTTAACCTGATTGACAGTTTAATATAATCTAGGCATACCACATCATATGTAAAATATATTGCGTAACCATCCATGGCCTAGGTTATATCATAATCATATTGTATCAAAATAATGTCCATGATGTTACTTATGTAATTACATCAAATAAACAAATGAGATGCAGTTAAATAAGTAACATAGACCTGAGCATGCATCAATAATAGCATATACTGTAACACCCCGTATATATTCGGTAATGTTATCATACTATCGTATTAAGCAGCGCTTAATTAAAAATGCGGAATATCTTTTTCTTTTCAATTATGATGTCATTATCATTACCAACTTGCTTATTAATCAATTAATAAAACATCGCCTGTATGTAATTGCAATAAAACAGCTATCTGAAATACCTCATAACATAGATAATAAAAGTGTGGCTCTAGTCACAGAACTTCAACAACGTAGACCGGACCATCTAACGGTTTATACAACTCATCTAAAAGTACTAACATAAAGTGTCATGGACAATCCCCATGCTCACTCAAATAAGGCAACACGCCCAACATCAGTCTCAACAACAACATAAACATACATAGCGAAAAACATAAACAGCATCTAAATCCAGTCATGACAGCAATACAACATAATATCATAATCAGCTAAGCTCTGGCCTCTTGCCGCCAGAGGCATCAGTCACCATACTACCTGAACCTGAAATAAGCATGATGCGCTTACTATCATATGAATGTTAATTAATCGGCTGCAGACGGGGCATTACATTTTATGGTATCAGAGCAGTTTTGAAAAGGGAATTCCTTGATGTATTGCAATAATTGTGTTGTTATGAGTGGCTTTTAGGATTTTCTGTGATAATGCATGTGTAACCACTTAGTGTGCGTCTGATCAACTCATTCCTTTGTGTAACATGTGCAGAGTCATGGTCCTTCCTAGGAGACCTTCGGCAGCAGATGACGATCAGACAGATCCTATATTAGCTACTTTGTTAAGATCTCAGAATACTGTTAGGGCCACTTCGAGTCAGCCTGGTCCTATAGCTATTGCTTTGGCTGGTGTTCAGCACGAGTTGGCTACTAGTAGGCAGGCTAATGAAACTCTTATGAAAACAAATCAAGATATAATTGCTGCCAATCACATTTTGATGAACCAGATGATGGCCGAGTTGAGAGCCATGAGAGATGGTAGAGCGGGGAATCAGCCCCCACCGCCTCCACCTCCATCGCCGCTGCCACCTCCTCCACCAAATACTCTCATTCCATCTCCGCATACTCTCTATGTAGAGCACGGGGATGGAGAGGGTGAGGCTAGTCATCATGGTGATGTTACTATTCATACTGGACTGTAATCTGTTCACACGGTTGCAATGGATGATGTTGAGGCTAGAGAGAGACGATTAAATGCTTTCAGGAAGCATCAGCCGCCTACTTTTGAGGGTGGTTATGACCCTATTGTTGCTGCTACATGGTTGCAGGATCTAGAAAGGATTCTTAGGGTGATGTAATGTCCGGATAATCAGAGACTATTGTATGCTACCTATATGCTGAGGTGATGCTAGTGATTGGTGGCTAAATACTTCTCGCCCATTGGAGCTGCAGGGTTATACTATTACATGGCCTTTGTTTGAGAGGAACTTTCTTGACAAGTACTTTCCCCAAGATGCTAGGGAAAGGAAGGAAGGTGAATATAATGATCTTGTGCAGGGTGAGATGTCTGTTGATGAATATCTGGCCAAATTCAATCAGTTGGCTAAGTATGCTCACTTCAGGAGAGCTATGCCAGATTCAGAGTCTTTAGCTGCAAAATTTCAGAGAGGATTAAATGATAGAATTGCAGAAAGTCTTGCAGGTTGTGGTTCCAGAGATTTTCCCACCTTGATTAATCAATGCAAGGCTGTTGAGGATATCCATAGGAGGCGAAATAACAGAAATTCTAAAGAGTCTGATTCCAAGAAGTCCGGTAGTTCTAATTACTGGAAGAACAAGAAATCTGAGGATAAAAATAAATATTTGCAGGTGAAGCAATCAAGTAATAAATTCAAGAAAACTGGTTCTTCTGAGAGACCACTGATCCCTAAGTGTATTGGCTGTGGTAAGGAGCATAGAGGATCGTGTGCCACGGGCCGGGTGATTTGTTATAAATGTGGCAAGACTGGCCACAACTCCAGAGACTGTCCTCAGAGAGATGTTAGGGTTGCACCTCTTCAGATGGTTCCTAGTCCAGCTGTCCCCGAGTCTCAGACTGTGGGACGAGTTTATGCTATCACTCAGCAGCAGGCGGATAAAGCGCCTAATTTGGTAAAAGGTACGATCTATATTAATGGTTTTGATATAGATGTTTTGTTTGACAGAGGAGCTACTCATTCTTGCATATCTGATTTTATGGCTTTGGGTTTGAATTTGCCAATGTATAAAATGTCTCCTCCTATCAAAGTGACTACAACTACGGGGGAAAAATATAGTACTTCCTACATGTGCAAGGATGTTGAATTTAAGTATAAAGGCCGAGACTATGTAATTGACTCCATCTGTCTACCCATGGTTAGTCTTCAAGTCATTTTGGGTATGTACTGACTTTCTAAAAATTGTGCAGTGATTAACTGTTGTGGTAAGAAACTAGTGATGTTATCTGAGGAGTCTGTTACTAGCTCCTTTCCTTGTATATCAATACGTCAGGCTAGACGGGCCTTAGAGGAGGGAGCATTGGGCTATATATAGTTGGGAAGATTAGTGAGCAGTAGTACTCAGGATAAGATTGCTGATATCCCAATTGTAAATGAATTCATGGATGTATTTTCGGATGAGATTCCAAATCTTCCACCACAGAGAGAAATAGAGTTCTCTATTGAATTGTTGCCTGGTGTGGGGCCTATTTCTATGGCTCCATATCGGATGTCTCCTCTGGAATTGGCTAAATTGAAGAAACAGATTGAGGACTTGTTGGCTAAGCAGTTCATCCGACCTAGTGTGTCCCCATGGGGAGTACCAGTATTATTTGTCAAGAAGAAGGATGGAACCATAAGACTTGTGACTGACTACAGGCAATTAAATAAAGTGACTGTAAAGAACAAGTATCATCTCCCTCGCATAAATGATTTCCTTAATCAGTTGAGGGGTGCTTGTGTCTTCTCAAAAATTGATTTGAGGTCAGGTTACCCTCAGATCCGAGTTAAGTCGGATGATATTCCGAAGACTGCATTCCGGTCTAGATACGGACATTATGAGTACCAGGTAATTCCTTTTGGTCTCACTAATGCTCCGGCAGTGTTTATGGACTATATGAACCGTTTGTTCAAGCCATATCTGGATCAATTTGTGGTTGTGTTCATAGATGATATTTTGATTTATTCTAAGAATAACAAGGAGCACGCGGACCACCTTAGGATTGTTTTGCAAGTGTTGAAGGATAATTAATTGTACGCCAAGTTTTCCAAGTGAATTCTGGTTGTCAAAGGTTCAATTTTTAGGCCATGCCATATCTGCTGATGGAGTGGCAGTGGACCCTAATAAAATAGAGGTCGTGATGGATTGGGAGAGGCCTAAGACTGTTTCTAAAGTCCGAAGATTTCTAGGACTAGCCGGTTATTACCGAAGATTTATTGAGGGGTTTTCTACAATGGTTTTACTGTTGACTCGCTTGACTAGAAAGGAGATCCCATTCGTGTGGACTCAGGAGAACGAAGATTCTTTTCATGCACTAAAAGAAAAGTTGACGACTGCTCCAATATTAACCCTTCCCGATCCTGAGCGCACTTTCGAGGTCTATTGTGATGCCTCGGGGAAAGGTTTAGGATGTGTCCTGATGCAAGATAGGAGAGTTGTTGCATATGCTTCTAGGCAGTTGAAACCGCATGAGGAGAATTACCCTACGCATGATCTAGAGCTAGCAGCCATAGTTGCCTTGAAAATATGGAGACACTATCTATATGGTGTTGATTTCTTAGTGTATAGCGATCACAAAAGTCTGAAGTATCTGTTTGACCAGAAAGAGTTGAACATGAGGCAAAGGAGATAGATGGAGTTCCTGAAGGACTATGAATTTGAACTAAAATACCATCCGGGTAAAGCTAATGTTGTAGCTGATGCCCTGAGCAGGAAATTTGTTGTGATTGCAAATCTGATGATTGAAGAATATCAGTTGATTGAAAACTTCAGAAATCTGAATGTGGTGGACAGTAAAGGCAATGGTAGCTTAGAAGTTGAGAAAGTTGCCATTCAGAATGCATTATTGGAGAGAATCTTAGAGGCTCAACAATTTGATAAGGAAATTATGGCCATGACAGGCCAGAAAGATGTGTCTGTTGATAATCAGGGCCTCAAACGATATCAAGAAAGGATAATTGTGCCCAAGGGTCAGTTAGTGGATGATGTGTTGATTGAAGCACACAAAGGTCAATACTCTATTCATTCAGGAGCTACTAAGATGTATCATTACTTAAAGGAAAATTTCTGGTGGCCGAGTATGAAGAATGACATTGCTAAGTTTTTTGCAAAGTGTTTAATCTCTCAGAAAGTCAAGATTGAACACCAGAGACCTGGTGGTTTGCTTCAACCTCTAGATATTCTGGTATGGAAGTGGGATTGCTTTTCCATGAATTTTGTTGTTGGGTTGCCCAAGACTCAGGCTGGATATGATTCTATATGGGTTATTGTTGATAGGCTTACGAAGTCTGCCTATTTTCTGCCAGTGAATGTGACTTTTACTACAGAGCAGTTGGCTCGACTCTATTTGAAGGAGATTGTGAGACTTCACGGGGTGCCTGAGAGCATTGTGAGCTATCGGGATCCGAAGTTCGCATCTCGCTTCTGGGGAGCACTACAGCAGTCTTTCGGCACTCAGTTGAGACTGAGCACATCCTCAGACTGATGGTCAAACGGAGAGGACTATTCAGACCCTGGAGGATATGCTGAGAGCTTGTGCCCTGGAGCAGGGTAAGATATGAGATAGGTACCTTCCATTGGTAGAGTTCTTGTACAATAATAGTTTCTATTCCAGTTTGGGCATGGCACTTTATGAGGCTTTGTATGGCCGGCGGTGTAGATCACCTACTTGTTGGACTGAGATTGGAGAGAGGAAAATGATTGGGCCAGACTTGGTACAAGACACTTCTAATCAGATCAAAATGATCCGAGATAAATTAAAACAGGCACAGAGTCGCCAGAAAAGCTATTATGATCATAAGCATTGACCTCTTGAGTTTGCAGAGGGTGAACATGTCTTTGTGAAGTTGTCACCTGTAAGAACCTGCACCGTTAATTAAGGAATTTAATTAATAAATTATGAGAAAATAGGAAATGATTCCATAATTGACCCTAATAATTATTATGAGGCTCTAATAATTATAGTAAGTGAGTAAGAATGCTGAAAGTCGCTTTTCGGAAGAAAAGTGCAGATACCGGTTCTGCTAGTCGGTATAAATGCGTACCGAAAAAGTATCCCGAAAAATTATAATAAGTGCATGATAATTACTAGAATAATATGTAGAACTTGGAAAACGAGTTTCAAGTCAATATAATGAGAACTGATGCCGGAAACTGGTACAGGCTATGAAAAGCGCATACCAGAAAGGTGCTCCGAAAATTATAAGAAAAATATGATAATTCTTATAAAATTGAGTAGGTTAAGAATCCAAAGTTTGAGATTAAAATGCTAAGCGTAGCAATTAAAGCTAATACTGTGTGTTAGTGACTTAACCGCCTATAAATAGTGCTTGGCACTAAACCCTAGGCTGATTCTTCAGCCACTCTACGTGTAACTTGGAGGCCAGCTGCTGCCACCACCTTCCCTTAGCCTCCCATGCTTGTTTTGTGGAAAGTCTTCATCTTTTCTTCTTTGTTTCACCATCTAAACACTTGGTTGAGTGTGTGTGAGCTTTGTGAATAGGGTGAGTGCTCCATTCTGAGTTGTGGTTGTTATTAGTGAGGTGTTGAGGGGCTGAGTTGGTGTTCCTTTGGTGAGAGCTCTTGTTCTTAGCTTCTTGAGCTTCAAGAAGCCACCTTTTGGCACAAAGAACCTTGCTTGTGTTGTGATTTTCGTGTGCCTTGAAGTTAGACCTGTAGAGGCAGTGTGGTGAGCTCCAAGAGCCATTGTTGCTCTGTTTTCATCTTTGGTAAGTTGTACCAACCTTGATCTTGTGTTTTGATGAGTAAAAGAGGTGTCTTGGTATGTTTAACGAGTTAAACAAGTAACCAACTGTCATATGAACATAAATGAACCTTAAGAAGCATGTTTAAGCTTCTGGAAGTGTTAAAAATGGAACCTTGGAGGGATATCTTCGCGAAATGCAGAAACTGCATTCTGTCGCGAAATATTCGGATATTTGACGTGGAATATCCGGATATGGATATTCGAATATGGGAATCTGGATATCCGGATATTGATATCCGGATATTGCCAGAGTGATATCCGGATATTGGATATCCGGATATTGCCTGTGAGATATCCAGATATTGCATATCCGGATATGTCCCCGAGGAATATCCGGATATTCTGGGTTTGCGAGGAACAGTAGCGTACTGTTCATCCAGAACTGATCTATGGGTTTGTGGATCCTAGTTTGAGGAAGTTGAACTTCTGTAATTAATTAATGTAAGTCAGAATCATATGATTAAGGGCTTATGACTTGGTGAGAAGCCTTAAGACGTAAAACGTAATGGAAAGGCGTTGTCTTAATATTGTATGCTTGCGGTGCATGTTATTGATATATTGTTGGTCCATAACAGATTGTGAATCTGCTGTGTTTGGACTTTGAGCTGTGGACTCTTGGTTTTGGGTGTTAGCTTGCAAGGTAAGCTTTCGTGTCCTCGTTTTAGCCATGTTGTGGTTCCACCATGTCCCATGGGGGTATGGTTATATGCATGCTGTGTTACATGCTTTTGATATATGAAATGTTGTTGAGCTTTATGTGTTAATGGCTTTTAATATGCATGTGTTGTTCCATCTTGACGGTAAGCCTGAGTATGTGGCGTCATACAAGACGGTGATCCGGGGTGGATGCAAGTAGCATCTTGCACTATTTGTGGGTATTAGACGTATATAAATCCTGCATTTCTCTGGCCAGTAGAATAGAATTGACACACATGACATGATTATCTGCTGCATTGCACTGTTTTTTAGAAATGATGTTGATGAACTGCTTTTAAACTTATATTGCACATGTAAGTGAGCTTGGGGTGGAAGATCCTTGAGAACCCCTTGCCTTACTGAGATTTCTTGTTTAGAGATCTCACCCCACGTTTGGGGAATGCTTATTTCAGGTTCAGGTAGTATGGTGACTGATGTCTCTGGCGGCAGGAGGCCAGAGCTTAGTTGATTATTTTACTGCTTATTTGCTAGCATGACTGCGCTGGATGCTGTTTATGTTTTCTGCATTATTATTATTATGTTGTTGATGTTGAGACTTATGTTGGGCTTGTTGCCTTATTTGGGTGAGCATGGGAGTTGTCCATGCCACTATGTTGTTAGTACTTTTGAGTTGAGTTGTATAAAGTGATCGTTGGTCCGGTCTACGTGTTGTAGTTCCGTGACTAGAGTCATACTTTATGTTGTTTTAATTAATGAGGTATTTCAGTTAGCTGTTTTATTGCAATTGCATACAAGCGATGTTTTATTAATTGGTTAATAAGCAAGTTGGTAATGATAATGACTTCATAATTGAAAAGAAAAAGATATTTCGCATTTTTAATTAAGCGCAGCTTAATACGATAGTATGATAACATTACCGGATATATACAGAGTGTTACATCACCTGTGACAGTTGTGGGGCGTGCTCTTGGAGTAAGGAAGTTGAGTCATGAGTTTATCGGTCCCTATCAAATAATAAAAAGGGTGGGACCGGTTGCTTATCAGCTTGCCTTGCCTCCACAGTTATTCGGTATTCATGATGTATTCCATGTGTCTCAGCTTCAGAGATATATTCGGGATGAATCCCATGTTGTACAGCCTGATGAGGTTCAAATAAAGGAAAATCTTAAGACTCCCATGGGGCCGTGGAAAATTCTGGACAGAGCTGAAAGAAAATTGAGAAATAAGTCAAATCCTATGATCAAAATTCAAAGGGAAGGCAGGACGCCTGAGGAGGCTACTTCGGAGCGTGAGGATGAGATCCTCCGGTTATATCCTGAGTTTGTTTCCAGGTATGATCCTAATTTTGCGGACAAATCCTAAAAAGTGGGGTGAGTATAATAACCCTCACATATAGTGTGGATTTAATTATGAATTAATGATTTTAATCATGATATTGAAGAATAATTATAAGGAAAGTAGAAGAAAAAGAAATAAAGTCATCTTTGGTGAAAAATGAGTTAAAATGAAAAGTTAAGGGGTAAAAATACAGGTAAATAAAGTTACCCGAAAGTAAAAAGTAAAATTATAAATATTACCATAAAATAATTCTGGGCTAGTGTGCAAAGTTTGGTAATGAATGGAGGTGCATAGATAGATAAGATTTTACCCAATTAAACCAACTTCAATACTTAAGTTAGAAAAGTACAGTATCCTCCTTTCTTTTTCTCCTCACGCGTGCGTCTCTTTCTTTCTTCTTCTCTGTGCGTCGTCGACTCGTAGCCATTGAAGGAGAGCTTTAATTCCAACTTCTCTATTTCTTGATGAAATCAAGTGAGGTAAAAAGCAAAGTTGCTTAGAATTGGGAGACAAACACAACCCCTAATCCATAATCTATCAAAAAGCCTTGTATTGAGAGAAAAATGGAAGGAAAAGTGGCGCCCCTTTGTTGATTGAAGGTCCAAGAAGGCGTTTTGATCTCATTTGAGGTTGGGAATCCACTCATTGGGTGATTCTAGGTAAGTCTATGTTAAGAAATCCTAGTTTTTTTTGAGTTTTGAGAAAGATTGATTTAGGTTTTTATTTTTAAGGTTTGACTTGATTGAGCATGTTAGAGCTTGATTGAGGCATAGCTCATGTTGAGAAAAGTGTTTAGATAGGAATTTTAACGGTGAAAATATATTTGAAAAAATTACAGATACCGTATTTATGAATAGTGTCGTATACATGAATAGTACTGTATAGATGAACAGTACCGTATGTATGCATTAATGATGGTGATCGATTAGTGATATGCTAATTGTATTCACATTTTTGGAACTAGGATGTGATTGTGGTTGTGAATCCCTGAACCCAGTTCGGTCCTTGGGGTTAATCCCCCGTTTGTCCCACCAAACTCCGAGGGAGGGTGGTAGTTTGATATGATATGTTGAAAATGATTTGTTATATGTTGCATGTATATGTATGTATGTTTGTGTGCCACACAAGACGATGTTTCCTTGTGTGAGGCATAAGACAGTGTTTCCTTGTGTGAGGCATAAGACAGTGTTTCCTTATGCATAGTATGAGGCGGTGTTTCCTCATATGGTATGTTGTAAGACAGTGTTTCCTTGCGTAATGCATACTTGTTATATTCTCTGGCCAGTAGGATTACATTATTGTACACTGCATTGTCATACATATTCTGATGCATGCATGGATTTTTATACTGAGTTTATACCATAAGTGAGCTTAGGGGCGGAGGAGCCCTCCAAGGGTCCCTAGCTTACTGAGGTAATTATATTATCTCACCCCGCGTTATGGGGATTACCATTTCAGGTACCAGAGCTGATAGTGTTGAGGTATCGCGTAGCAAGAGGCCAGATGAGAGATATTACTTGACATGATTGTCAGGGTCTTGTAGATACTTAGATTTGTACCTAACATACTTTATTTTGTGTTGTACATGCCATGTATATTTTTTTTGAGAGCATAGGAAGTGTCTATGCCATGTCGATAGTCTGTATATGCTGTTATTGATGCATGCTCAGGTCTATGTTACTTATTTAATTGCATCTCTTTTGTTTATTTGATGTAATTATATAAGTAACATCATGGACATTATTTTGAGACAGTATGATTATGAGATAGCCTATGCCATGGATGACTGGGTAATATGGTTTATGGATGGATTATATTAAACTGTCAATTGTGTTGAAATTATCATAGTGGAAATTATCCCTAATAATCCAAAATATAGAGAAAATGTTGTCCGTTTTATTTTGGTCATGCAAGTAAAAAAGGTTTGCAATACATAAGGAAAAAGAAAAAATTTATTTAGTTAGCTTTTGCATTAATTAAGCTGAGCATGCTGCACTTACTATCATATGAATGTTAATTAACCAGCTGCAGACAGGGAGTTACACTTTCATTGGTCGTATCTCCTCCTCTAACCACCGTTTAAGGCGAATGAACAATCAAAACTATCATCTTGACGAGTAGAACAAAGCCCAATAGGTATCTCGTCCTAAAAATGGTTGAAATTTCTAGAATATGGACAAAAAAGTTGCGGTTGCAGTATATTTAAATTCAGATCTCGAAAAATTCTTCTGTCGAATTGCAAAAATGATAATGATTTCCTCTAGATGAAATCTTGGAATACACAACTTACTCTCTTAAATCCTATACATGAAGCTAATACTTCAAGATTGTTTGAGGCTATGAGTTTGAGAGAAAAGAGTTTAGAAGTGTTTGAAGTATTACACAAAGAGACATAAGATTTTTTAAATGCTCAACTAAAACCCTATGTGAATATTCTAGTAGCAATTGAGCTGCAGCCCATATAAACCCAAATAATCTTGCTCTCTCATATTGAGTTTGTACGTGAATATATTATTAAATTATATTATTAATATACTCAAAAGTAAATTAGAAAAATCTAGATAGTCAATACATTATATTTCATAGAAGACTTAGTCAAGACAAAATAAAGCAAAATTGTTGTAAGCAAGATATTAAATTTTAGCAAAGAAATTAAGAAATTAAAGGGCTGTTAAATGTAAGTACTGAGAAGTTCCCTAACATCCAATTGAAATGTTCTTTCGAAGACTGCGTGTTGCCCATGTGAAAGGCCCGTTTTCATGGCAGAAAAGTGCATGTTTATTTATATAGGAGCGTTAACTTCTCACTTGATCACGCATTCCTTTAATTATTTTTTATTTATTAATTTATATAGTTGTGTTTTTTTTTTTTTGGTAAACATATAGTTGTGTTTTAATATAGGGAAAAATGTTTCTTTTAAAGAATAATTATTTTATTTAAACCTGATATTTTTAAAAAAAAATTTAAATTGAAAAAATAATCATTCACTTTCTCCTCATAATTTTTATAGGATAGGATATTGTTACTACCAAATAATGTTACACCAATGTTATTATCATATGTTAATTTCTGCCCATCAACCGTTATCATTTATTATGAATTAATAATTAATTAATAAGTTTGATTTGAGAAAATAATAACCGTTAATTGACGGAAATCAACGTTTAATATATGATATAATATTGATTGTAACGTTATTTAGTAATAACAATACCTGTCCCGATTTGAATGTGTATTTTTTTTTTCTCAGTTTAAAATAATACAATTTTATGTTATTTAAAAGCAAACACCAAACCCTTTAATATCTTTTAATAGAAATAATAAAAGCTTAAGTTGAAAGCTTGCTAATCCAGAAGTAGCTGGTGTTGTCTTATGATATCCCCCTTCTTCCTCTCGTATGGGCTAACCGCTAATTTGAACTTGTTATCAAGTTCTTTATTCAATTTCTTTGATCTTCTCATTTGTTTTCTCTTTGTGTTCTTCTTTCCAGTTACCTTGTGGCTCACTTATTTTGATATTCAAGGGTTTAGAGGTAAAGAAAGATACAGAGTGAACTTGTTCCAATCCAACAAGCATACTCTTCGTCTCTTGGTTTTTTCAAAAATTGAATATGTTGTATTTTTTTGTCCTTGATTTATTTCTTGGTATGTTGTATTTATTTGTCTCTTCTTTATTGCCAAAATTGAAGGGTGTAGCGGCAAGGAAAATGTCAGTCAAAGCTCCCCAAAGAAAATATGATGTTTTTGTTAGCTTCAGGGGCGAGGACATTGGCCATGGCTTTCTCGGCCATTTGATTGATGCTTTTCGTCGAAAGCAAATATTTGCCTTTGTAGATGATAAACTTGAAAGAGGAGATGATATATCATCATCACTTTTTGGAGCAATCGAAACATCATTAATTTCATTGATCATATTCTCAGAAGACTATGCTTCTTCACATTGGTGTCTGGAAGAACTTGAGAAAATAGTTGAGTGCAGAGATAAATATGGACAGACTGTAATACCTATTTTCTACAATGTAGATCCCACAATTGTAAGGCATCAAAAGGAGAGTTATGGAAATGCGCTTGCTAAACATGAAGAAAAGTATAATTTGAAAAGGGTGCAAACATGGAGAGATGCTTTGCACAAATCTGCAAATTTATCTGGAATTAAGTCATCGGATTTTCGGTAAGCTTTTTTATTTTCTCCCAACAAATGTTAAATATTATTTTTCTGTTCATTTGTTATATAGATCTATGCATAGTATCACTAGGTTGTTGCTTAAAAATAAAACTTATATTTAAAAACTGTTTAACCAGATCCAGAATGTACTCTTATTAGTTATTATTTCCACAAATATTTTAGTATTTGTTTAAATGAAAACAAACTCTAAATTTGATTCTACATTACATCCCATCCTATTTCCTAACTTTGGTTAACTTAGCACCATTGAGAATTTCAAGAATGAAAAATAATAATATAAAGATGACCAATTACTAATTAATAATAATATAAAAATGAGTAAATAATTTTTTAGTGCCTCCCCAAGGTACTATTCCTTACCACTATTATATTCTCTATAATGTTTCATCCTTTTTATTTTTTGTTCAACCGTACATATATGTTAAGTTAGAGTATGTTCTATTGAGAGTGATTTAATTTTTAATTTTATTCTCTCTTAAAGAATGTCATATGTCATTCTTAAATTAGACCCAAGTAATACAATTAAATTTACTCCAATTTCTGAATGATATACATATAATTGATTCATATTTTTCAAGATTTATAAAATGTTGTAAATAGTAATTATGTAGTCATTTATTAGTAATTATGTAGTCATTTATTTGTATTTATTTAGTCCGTTACTTGTATATTGGGCCAAGCCCATTAGGTCAAAATTAGGTCAAGAAGTCTATATAAATAGAGACCTTTATGTACAGATTCAAATACAATTCAATAATATTTCAAATACCTTTTTCATTCAAGTTGGTATCAGAGCTCTCGATCCAGAGGGCTCTGCTTCCGCAATTACCTCCGTTAAAACAGAAACCTTCTTTCTTAGCCTCTTTCCGCCATTAGCCGCCACCGAAAAAAATTTTCGGTGGACCTTTTGGACCAAAAGGACCAGTTTTCAAATCATTTTTCTCAGATCTATCAGCTTACGAACGTGTTATAATCGTTTGACGACCGGATCTTCCTAAAACAACACAAGGCCGCTACTGTTCATCGCGTTTTGGACACTTTTCCGCCGACCTTTCAACTCCGACCGGCCACAGAAAGGTTCGAGACCGTCGGACGACCTCGCCTCAGAAATTTCAGCTCCGGCGGCCGCGGCACGCGCTCTCACGTGCCGCCACACTCCCGGCGAGTGAGGACCACTCGCAGACAACTCCACCGGCGCGTGGAGGCGCGTGGGACACTTTTTCCAACTCCGGCCAAAAAGTTTTCTGATCTTCTCCTCATCCTCTTTCTGGATCTGTGCTCCTCTCTTTGATCGGACATCGTTTGGTATTTATTTGTGATTTTTTGGCTTCTTAGAGCTTTTTTTTAACCATTTTCTGTGCAGTATGGCCTCTTCTCAAATGAGTTCTTTTTTAAAATTTTATGATGGTACCTCTTCTAGACCTAAGAGAGATGACCGATGGTGTTCTTATTGTAAAAGAATATGTCATATCAAGGATTTATGCTTTCGCCTTTATGGAAAGCAAACTGTCTTAGAAAAGATGGCAAGGATGTGTGGTCAAGCGCATTTTACTTCTTCTGAAATAACCCCTGCTCCTAATGAGACCCAATCTGCATTTCGTCCAGATGAGTTGGAACGACTCCGAACCATTCTTGATTATCTGAGTAAGCCATCTGATACTAGTGCTTTGGCTATGACTGGTATGAGCTCTAAAACTCATTTTTTCATTTCTTCATGTAATGATTTTCAACATTCTTGGGTTGTTGATTCTGGTGCTACTGATCATATGGCTTGTTGTGCTGACTCCTTTATTTCTTATCATCCTACCATTGGAACTCAAACAATATCCATAGCTGATGGCTCACATACATCAGTTGCGGGTTCTGGTGACATAAACTTACAACAGTCCTTACATCTTAAGGATGTTCTTCATGTTCCTAAACTCTCCACGAATCTTCTTTCTATTCACAAAATTACAAAAGATTTGAATTGTACTGTAACCTTCTTCCCTATCCATTGTGTTTTTCAGGATCTCGCCACGGGGAAGACGATTGGTAGTGCTAAAGAGCAAGGTGGGTTGTACTATCTGGTGTCACAATCTCCCACAAATAAAGTAACAGATCACACCTTCATGTCTCATGGTCAATCAACTGCTGATTCTTTAATTTGGCTGCATCATAAGCGTTTGGGTCATCCTCCATTTAGTTTACTCAAATTTTTATTTCCGTCATTATTTTTGTCTAAGTCTGTTGAGTCTTTTCATTGTGATGTTTGTGAATTTGCTAAGCATCATCGTGTGTCTTTTCCTTCTAGTATTACTAAGAGTGTTGAACCTTTTGATCTTATTCATTCTGATGTTTGGGGTCCTTCTAAGGTCCCTCATTCTTCTGGAAATAAATGGTTTGTTTCTTTTATTGATGATTGCACTCGTGTAACTTGGGTTTACTTAATGCGTGAAAAGTCTGAGGTACCACAACTGTTCTTCCAATTTTATAAAATGATTGAGACTCAATTTTGTAAAAAAATCAAAAGACTAAGGACAGATAATGGTACTGAATATGTCAATCACTCTTTTTCTCAATTTATACAAAATCAAGGTATGATTCATGAACTTACTTGTGTAGACACCCCTCAACAAAATGGGGTTGCTGAAAGGAAAAATCGTCACCTTCTTGAAGTTGCTCGTGCCTTACTGTTTCAAACACATGTACCCAAATGCTATTGGGGAGATGCCATTCTTACTGCAGCGTTCTTGATCAATCGTCTACCCACTCGGGTTCTCGATGATGTAAGTCCTATTCACTCCATGACTTCTTTTTTTCCTTCTGTTCCAACTTTGCAAAGTCTTCCTCCTCGAGTGTTTGGGTGTGTTGTCTTTGTTCATATTCGTAAACAGCATCGCAGTAAGTTGGATCCTAGGGCTCTTAAATGTGTCTTCCTTGGATATGCTCCTGATAAGAAGGGCTATAAGTGTTATCACCCTGGAAGTCGGAAATTTTTTGTTTCTATGGATGTTACATTTCAGGAATCTGAGTCATTTTTCCAAGGTCCTCATCTTCAGGGGGAGAATAATTCACCAGAAGACTCATCACCTTCCTTCTTTGAAACTTCGGTGTCTACTCCTTCACCTGTGTCAGTGTATCCTCCTCTTGTGTCTGTTCCTCCTGTGTCTGATCCTCTTGTGAGTAATCCTCCTGTGACTGATTCTTCTGTGATTGATACATCAAGTACACCAGAGATACGGAAGGTTATGACACCTGAAAGAAGGAAACAACCCACATTGTCTCAGCAACCTCAATCGTCTGAACCACTGGTAAGTCCTGAATCTCATATTTCTGATCATGATGTTAATACTTCTGATGACTTACCTATTACTACTGATTCTGATGATTTACCCATTGCTCTTAGAAAAGGAAAAAGAGCTTGTCCCAAGAAATCTTGTCCCTCCTGTCCCTCTTGTACTCAATACCCTATCTCCCATTTTGTTTCCTCTGCTAATCTGTCTGTGCAGCACAAAAGCTTTGTTTCAGCACTAGACTCTATTGCAATCCCAAAATCAGTACATGAAGCCTTGAAAGATGGGAATTGGGCTCAAGCCATGCAAGAGGAGATGAATGCATTGGAGAAAAATAAAACATGGGAGGTTATTGATAGACCTACTGGAAAGAAAGCAGTAGGGTGCAGATGGGTTTATGCCCTGAAATATAATTCCGATGGAACTCTTGAGAGATACAAAGCTCGATTAGTTGCCAAAGGTTACTCTCAAACCTATGGCATTGGTTATGAAGAAACATTTGCTCCAGTTGCAAAGATGAATACGGTGAGAGTTTTGTTATCCCTTGTTGCCCATTACAATTGGGATATAAACCAATTTGATGTGAAGAATGCTTTCCTCAATGGTGAGTTAAAAGAAGAAGTCTACATGGAAATTCCGCCTGGTTTTGATTCTGTGAAGGGAGAAAATAAAGTTTGTAAATTAAAAAAGGCCTTGTATGGATTGAAGCAGTCACCTCGTGCCTGGTTTGGAAAGTTTACTAAGGTTATGATGACCTTAGGATATAAACAAAGTCAAGGAGATCACACTCTTTTTTTCAAGCACTCCCAAAATGGGAAGCTTACTGTGCTCCTTGTATATGTTGATGATATTATTATCACAGGTGATGATTTTGTGGAGAGACAGATTCTGCAAACACGGCTTGCCTATGAGTTTGAAGTCAAAGACCTTGGGAAACTGAGATATTTCCTAGGGATAAAAGTAGCTCATTCGAGCAAAGGAATCTTTATCAGCCAGAGGAAATATGTTCTTGATCTTCTCAAAGAAGCAGGAAAGCTCGGGTATAAACCCTCTAATACTCCTATTGAGCAGAATCACAAGATGAGCTATGAAGATGAGAGTCCTCCAGTTGATAAAGGACAATATCAACGGCTAGTTGGGAAATTGATATATTTGGCCCATACTAGACCAGACTTAGCTTATGCTGTTAGTGTTGTCAGTCAGTTTATGCACGATCCAAAGGAGAAACATATGCAGGCAGTAGAGAGAATTCTTCAGTATCTGAAAGGAACTCCTGGTAAAGGGTTGTTATTCCGACGTGATGGCAATCTATCTTTAGAAGTCTACACAGATGCTGATTATGCTGGATCCGTGACTGACCGTCGTTCTACCACTGGTTATTGCATGTTTCTTTGTGGTAACTTGGTGACATGGAGAAGTAAGAAACAAGATGTGGTCGCCAGATCAAGTGCAGAAGCTGAATTTCGAGCTATGGCTCACGGAATTTGTGAGTTACTGTGGCTGAAAATTGTACTTGATGATCTAAAAATAAAATGTGAGGGACCTATGAAGCTGCTATGTGATAATAAGTCCGCTATTTGTATAGCTCATAATCCAGTTCAACATGATCGGACTAAACATATTGAGGTCGACCGCCATTTCATCAAAGAGAAACTTGATAGCGGGTTGATTAACACTCCATACATTCCCACTGGGCGTCAATTAGCTGATCTATTGACAAAGGGGCTTCCTTCAGATAGATTTCAAAAACTTGCTAGCAAGCTGGGAATGATAAATATCTATTCCTCAGCTTGAGGGGGAGTGTTGTAAATAGTAATTATGTAGTCATTTATTAGTAATTATGTAGTCATTTATTAGTAATTATGTAGTCATTTATTTGTATTTATTTAGTCCGTTACTTGTATATTGGGCCAAGCCCATTAGGTCAAAATTAGGTCAAGAAGTCTTTATAAATAGAGACCCCTATGTACAGATTCAAATACAATTCAATAATATTTCAAATACCATTTTCTTTCAAGTTAAAAACATATGTCATTTTTAAATTAGACCAGGTAATACAATTAAATTTATTCCAATTTCTGAATGATACACATAATTGATCATAATTTTCAAAATTTATAAAAACATCCTACAAGGTCCTTATTTTTGTTACTTGACCCTGTTCGCGGTGATTCCCACCAAGGATGAAGGGAAAAAGATCATGGTGGAACAACCCCACCTTTCAAACTTCAAACCAAGTGAGGTTATAGAAATTTCATTGAATTTCTTACATTTGCTCTCTCTCTCTCTCTGTTTTATAGGGATGATGTCCAGCTGCGCGATGAAATCATCAAAACCGTCAATCATCAATTAATGATGAGGTTAAATAAGCAGCCAATTCAGTCAAAAGGACTTGTTGGAATTGGCAAAGGAACTGCACATTTAGAACCTTTGTTACGTCAAGATTCAAAAGACGTGCGTGTTATTGGAATTTGGGGTATGGGTGGTATTGGTAAGACAACCATTGCACAAGAAGTTTTTAACAAACTAAGTTCTGAATATGAAGGTTGTTGTTTTTTGGCAAATGTAAGAGAAGAATCAACAAGAGGTAGAATCAGTTCCTTAAAAGAGAAACTTTTTTCTACACTATTAGCGGAAGATGTGAAATTTAACACACAAAATGAATTGCCCGGTTATGTGATGATGAGGCTTGGTCGTATGAAAGTTCTCATTGTTCTAGATGATGTCAATGATCCAGATCAACTAGAAACTTTAGTTGGATATCATGATAGCTTTGGATTAGGTAGTAGAATCATTGTAACAAGTAGAGATAAGCAAGTGTTTGTTAAAGAAGTTGATGATATATATGAGGTAGGGGCATTGGACTTTGATGAAGCACTTCAGCTTTTTACTTTGAATGCCTTCAAACAAAATCATCTTGAAATGGAGTACTATGAGCTATCAAAGAAGGTGGTCAATTATGCCAAAGGCATTCCATTAGTTCTTAAAGTTTTGGGTCATCTTCTTTGTGGAAAAGGTAAGGAAGTATGGGAAAGTGAGCTAGACAAACTTGAAAAGATGCCAAATAAGAAAGTTTATGCTGTGATGAAACTGAGTTATGATGATCTAGATCGCAAAGAGCGAAAGATGTTTTTAGATCTTGCATGTTTCTTTAGTGTATTGAATTTGAAAGTGGGCTACATAAAACTTTTATTGAAAGATCATGAAAGTGATAATTCAGTGGCTGTTGGTTTAGAAAGATTGAAAGACAAAGCTCTTATAATTATTTCTGAAGATAATGTCATCTCTGTGCATGATATTATACAAGAAATGGCTTGGGAGATTGTTTGCCAGGAATCTAGTGAAGACCTTGGAAGCCGCAGTCATTTGGGGGATGCTAATGACATTTATGAACTATTAAAATATGACAAGGTAAAAGTATAAGTTAAATATAAAATATTTTTGTATTCTGATATATTTTAGAATTGTGAAATAATATGATACAAAGAGGTCTCTATTTATAGAGACCAAAAACCCAAATTCTTGACCTAATGGGCTTGGCCCAATACAACAAATACTAATAATAATAAAAGACCTAATATTTACAACACTCCCCCTCAAGCTGAGGAATAGATATTTATCATTCCCAGCTTGCTAGTAAGTTCTTGAAATCTATCTGGAGGAAGTCCCTTTGTCAATAGATCAGCTAATTGACGCTCAGTGGGAATGTATGGAGTGGTAATCAACCCGCTATCAAGTTTCTCTTTGATGAAATGGCGGTCGACCTCAATATGTTTAGTCCGATCATGTTGAACTGGATTATGAGCTATACAAATAGCGGACTTATTATCACATAGCAGCTTCATAGGTCCCTCACATTTTATTTTGAGATCATCAAGTACAATTTTCAGCCACAGTAACTCACAAATGCCTTGAGCCATAGCTCGAAATTCAGCTTCTGCACTTGATCTGGCAACCACATCTTGTTTCTTACTTCTCCATGTCACCAAGTTACCGCAAAGAAACATGCAATAACCAGTGGTAGAACGACGGTCAGTCACGGATCCAGCATAATTAGCATCAGTGTAGGCTTCTAAAGAGAGATTATCATCACGTCGGAATAACAATCCTTTACCATGAGTAGCTTTAAGATACTGAAGAATTCTCTCTACTGCCTGCATGTGTTTCTCCTTTGGATCGTGCATAAACTGACTGACAACACTAACAGCATAAGCTAGGTCTGGCCTAGTATGGGCCAGATATATCAATTTTCCAACTAGCCGTTGATATTGTCCTTTATCAACTGGAGGACTCTCCTCTTCAAAGCCTATCTTGTGATTCTGCTCAATAGGAGTATTAGAGGGTTTACACCCGAGCTTCCCTGCTTCTTTGAGAAGATCCAAAACATATTTCCTCTGACTGATAAAAATTCCTTTGCTTGAATGAGCTACTTCTATCCCTAGGAAATATCTTAGTTTCCCAAGGTCTTTGACTTCGAACTCAGAGGCAAGTCGTGTCTGCAGAATCTGTCTCTCCACAAAATCATCACCTGTGATAATAATATCATCAACATATACAAGGAGCACAGTAAGCTTCCCATTTTGGGAGTGCTTGAAGAAAAGAGTGTGATCTCCTTGACTCTGTCTATATCCTAAGGTCATCATAACCTTAGTAAACCTTCCAAACCAAGCACGAGGTGACTGTTTCAATCCATACAAGGCCTTTTTTAATCGACAAACTTTATTTTCCCCCTTCACAGAATCAAAACCAGGCGGGATTTCCATGTAGACTTCTTCTTCTAACTCACCATTGAGGAAAGCATTTTTCACATCAAATTGATTTATATCCCAATTGTAATGGGCAGCAAGGGACAACAAGATTCTCACTGTATTCATCTTTGCAACTGGAGCAAAGGTTTCTTCATAATCAATACTATAGGTTTGAGTGTAACCTTTGGCGACTAATCGAGCCTTGTATCTCTCAAGAGTGCCATCAGAATTATATTTCAGGGCATAAACCCATCTGCACCCTACTGCTTTCTTTCCGTTGGGTCTATCAATAACCTCCCATGTTTTATTTTTCTCTAACGCATTCTTCTCCTCTTGCATAGCTTGAGCCCAATTCCCATCTTTCAAAGCTTCATGTACTGATTTTGGGATTGAAGTAGAATCTAGTGCTGAAACAAAGCTTTTGTGCTGCACAGAAAGATTAGCAGAGGAAACAAAATGGGAGATAGGGTATTGAGTACAAGAGGGACAGGAAGAACAAGTTTTCTTGGAACAAGATCTTTTTCCTTTTCTTAAAGCAATGGGTAAATCATCTGAAGCAGTAGTAATGGGTAAGTCATCAGAAACAGTAGTAATGGGTAAGTCATCAGACGTATTAACATCATGAACAGAAATATGAGTTTCAGGACTTACCAGTGGTTCAGACGATTGAGGTTGCTGTTGAGGCAATGTGGGTTGTTTCCTTCTTTGATATACCAATTCAGGTGTCACAATCTTCCGTATCTCTGGTGTATTTGATGTATCAGTCATAGGAGGATCAGTCACAGGAGGATCAGACATAGACACATTAGGAACAGGAACAAGAGGAAGAGACACTGACACAGGTGAAGAAGTAGACACTGAAGATTCAAAGAAGGAAGGTGATGAGTCTTCTGGTGAATTATTCTCCCCCTGAAGATGAGGACCTTGGAAAAAGGACTCAGATTCCTGAAATGTAACATCCATAGAAACAAAAAAATTTCGACTTCCAGGGTGATAGCACTTGTAGCCCTTCTTATCAGGAGCATAACCAAGGAAGACACATTTAAGAGCCCTAGGATCCAACTTACTGCGATGCTGTTTATGAATATGAACAAAGACAACACACCCAAACACTCGAGGAGGAAGACTTTGCAAAGTTGGAACAGAAGGAAAAAAAGAAGTCATGGAGTGAATAGGACTTACACGATCGAGAACCCGAGTGGGTAGATGATTGATCAAGAACGCTGCAGTAAGAATGGCATCTCCCCAATAGCATTTGGGTACATGTGTTTGAAACAGTAAGGCACGAGCAACTTCAAGAAGGTGACGATTTTTCCTTTCAGCAACCCCATTTTGTTGAGGGGTGTCTACACAAGTAAGTTCATGAATCATACCTTGATTTTGTATAAATTGGGAAAAAGAGTGATTGACATATTCAGTACCATTATCTGTCCTTAGTCTTTTGATATTTTTACAAAATTGAGTCTCAATCATTTTATAAAATTGAAAGAACAGTTGTGGTACCTCAGACTTTTCACGCATTAAATAAACCCAAGTGACACGAGTGTAATCATCAATAAAAGAAACAAACCATTTATTTCCAGAAGAATGAGGGACCTTAGAAGGACCCCAAACATCAGAATGAATAAGATCAAAAGGTTCAACACTCTTAGTAATACTAGAAGGAAAAGACACACGATGATGCTTAGCAAATTCACAAACATCACAATGAAAAGACTCAACAGACTTAGACAAAAACAATGACGGGAATAAAGATTTGAGTAAACTAAATGGAGGATGACCTAAACGCTTATGATGCAGCCAAATTAAAGAATCAGCAGTTGATTGACCATGAGACATGAATGTGTGATCTATTACTTTATTTGTGGGAGATTGTGACACCAGATAGTACAGCCCACCTTGCTCTTTAGCACTACCAATCGTCTTCCCTGTGGCGAGATCTTGAAAAACACAATGGGTAGGGAAGAAGGTTACAGTACAATTCAAATCTTTTGTAATTTTGTGAATAGAAAGAAGATTCGTGGAGAGTTTAGGAACATGAAGAACATCCTTAAGATGTAAGGACTGCTGTAAGTTTATGTCACCAGAACCCGCAACTGATGTATGTGAGCCATCAGCTATGGATATTGTATGAGTTCCAATGGTAGGATGATAAGAAATAAAGGAGTCAGCACAACAAGCCATATGATCAGTAGCACCAGAATCAACAACCCAAGAATGTTTAAAATCATTACATGAAGAAATGAAAGAATGAATTTTGGAGCTCATACCAGTCATAGCCAAAGCACTAGTATCAGATGGCTTACTCAGATAATCAAGAATGGTTCGGAGTCGTTCCAACTCATCTGGACGAAATGCAGATTGGGTCTCATTAGGTGCAGGGGTTATTTCAGAAGAAGTAAAATGCGCTTGACCACACATCCTTGCCATCTTTTCTAAGACAGTTTGCTTTCCAAAAGGCGAAAGCATAAATCCTTGATATGACCTGTTCTTTTACAATAAGAACACCATCGATCATTTCTCTTAGGTCTAGAAGAGGTACCATCATAAAATTTTGAAAAAGAACTCCTTTGAGAAGAGGCCATACTGCACAGCAAATGGTCAAAGAAAAGCTCCAAGAAGCCACATAATCACAAAATACTAAACAACGTCAGATCTGACCGGAACAGTAACACAGCTGCCGAAACAGTAACACAGTGACCGGAACAAATACCGGAACAAATACCAAACAACGTCAGATCTGGTCGGAGGCAAGAAATTGGTGAAAGAACAAACTCCAAGAAGCCAAGAAATTCTGAAAAAATACCAAACGATGTCCGATCAAAGTAGAGAGCACAGATCCAGAACCAGCTTGGAGAGACGATCAGAACCGTGGTGGTCCGCGGCCGAGAACCACCGTCACGCGCTGTCACGCGCCGGTGAAGCTGTCGGCGCGTGGGATTCACACGCAGAGTCAAGGGCGGCGCGTGGAGGCGCGTCTGACCTCCGATGGTGCTGGGTTTTTCAGGCGAAGGTCGTCCGGCGAGCGCGATGGTTTCTGTGGCTGTTCGGAGTGAAGAATCCACCGGAAAAAGGTTACAATCGCGATGAACAGGTTCTGTACGGTGGTTCTGTACGTTGATTCTGTGAACGTTTGTTTCTGGTTGTGTAATAGACAAGAAAAAGAAAGAGGAACAGTGAAGCAATGGTCTTCTCGGTCCAAGAGGTCCCCGGAAAAAAATTTCCGGTGGCGGCTGATGGCAGCGAGAGACGTGAAAAAAATAGAAAGGTTTCGTAGGCGCGGAAGCAGAGCCCTCTGGATCGAGAGCTCTGATACCAACTTGAAAAAGGGTATTCTGATATATTTTAGAATTGTGAAATAATATGATACAAAGAGGTCTCTATTTATAGAGACCAAAAACCCTAATTCTTGACCTAATGGGCTTGGCCCAATACAACAAATACTAATAATAATAAAAGACCTAATATTTACAACAGAATCTTTTGTTGGAAATGTGGCTTTTAACTGTGTTTAAAATTTTGTTATACTTTATGGCAGGGGAGTATGGCTATTAGAAGTATAAGGGCGTCGTTCTCAGGAGGCAGAAAGCTCATGTTGAGCCCTCACGTATTCACTAAGATGAGCAAACTACAATTTCTGCATTTTTTTGTCAGATATGAACAAGATTTCTTGGATGCTCTTCATCAAGGGCTTCAGTCTTTGCCAACTGAACTAAGATATCTTCGTTGGACGAGATATCCTCTGAAATCCTTGCCAATGAAATTTTCTGCAGAAAAACTTGTTATGTTGGACTTATCAAGCAGTAGACTGGAAAAACTTTGGGATGGAGTACAGGTAAATAAATGTGTTGAATTGTTATAATTTTCTCTAAATTGGGATGGAGTACAAGTAAATAAATGTGTTCTGCTGTTATAATTTTCTCTAAATTCAAGGAATACTAAACTGACAACTAAATTAACAGAATCTGGTGAATTTGAAAGAAGTTATACTCAGGCGTTCCTATTTTCTGAAGGAGCTGCCAGACTTTTCAAAAGCCACAAGTCTTGAAGTACTGGATATCGCTTCTTGTGAAATGTTGATTAGCGTGCATATTTTCTCTCTAGACAAACTTGAGAAAATGGATGCAAGTGGCTGCACTTCCCTTATCAGACTTACAAGCGATACCCATGCAAGCTCTCTCAACTATCTCAACCTTGGAAACTGCAAAAGTTTAAGGGAATTCTCAGTGACATCAGAGAATATCATAAAACTAAATTTAGAATTCACCCGTTTGGATGCATTGCCCTCATCTTTTGGACATCAAAGCAGGCTTGAAATCCTAGACCTTGCATGCTGTGACGTTGAGAGCTTGCCTTCATCCATAAAAAATCTTACAAGACTGCAACATCTATGCATACATGATTGTTTGAAGCTTCGGACTCTACCTGAGCTTCCCCCCTCCCTTGAAACTCTATTTGTCAAAGAGTGCACGTCACTAGAGACTGTATTGTTCCCTTCAACAATCACTGAACAATTCAATGAAATTAGGAGAAGGGTTCATTTCGGGAATTGCTCCAACTTAGTTGAACATTCTCTCATGGCTATTGAGTTGAATGCGCAAATTAACGTGATGAATTTGGCACACCAACATATATCCATGTCAGACCACAATTTTGTTGAAAATTACGGTGAAGATGCAACGTACATGTACATGTATCCAGGAAGTAGAGTTCCAGAGTGGTTGGAGTATAAGACGACAATTGATTATGTAAATATTGATCTCTCTTCTGCTCCACCCTCCCCTCAATTAGACTTCATTTTCTGCTTCATCATCGGAGAGAAACAATCAATTGAGTCATTGAAATTTATACTCATTGTCAATGATGGTGAGGATGAAGGTAACTTGGGCAGAGTCGATATGAACATGTCTAAGCAATCCGGCTTCACTGACTCTGATTGTGTGTGTGTGATGTACGACCAGTGTTGTTCCTACTACCTAAATATCATTGCCAAAAGACTGACCAGGTTAAAGATCAAGGTTACAGCAAGATCAGAAACAAAATATAACCGGATTGCGTTAAAAGGGTATGGGGTAAGCCCAATAAGCACACTGGCACATCACAATTTCATTCATCAAATGGAATTTGCGTGATTGTACTCTAAATACCTATATGTCTTATAACAAATGGAATTTGGTTGTGCTTAGTATCATCCGATGAACTTCCTTCTTCTGGTTTAAGGTGAAGTTTTTAATTTAGAAGAAAGTTTATTATTTGATATAATTGAAACCCAGTTGGTTATAATATTCAAGTTGTCAACATAGCTCTTTGAATTCATAACATGGACATGTCAAGTGTTTAAACAAACAGATATAAGCTACGTTTACTCAAAAGATACTAGTACATAAGTATGCTCAAAACAGTCAAAACTACCATGAAGGATACTATGCAGGCACGGATTCCAAGTTTTTGTTTTTTCAATGTGGATTTGTTTTTCTTCTTAACTACCGTATGTTCTGCATTTTTGTAGGCGGTGTTCTTAGTGAAAGGACTATTGCTATGCTTTTAGATAGACACCGGCAATATCTGCACCAGAAAAGCAGAGTATTTGATAGATGTTTGGTACATAGTATAAGATAAGGCCTCAAAGTATAAGACTTCCTAGTATAAGGTCTGATTAAATTTTAATACTATCCAGCGTTTGGTATAGTATTGTATAATGTAATGTCCCACATCGGTTGGAGAGGGGAACGAAGCATGCCTTATAAGGGTGTGGATACCTCTTCTAGTGTGAGGCCTTTTGTGGGGTGTCTCAAGAAACAAAACCGTGAGCTCGACGGTGCTTGTGCGCGGGGCAAAGCGGACAATATCATGCTACAGGGTTTGGGGCTGTTACATTTGGTATCAGAGCCTGGCCCTGGACCGGTGTGTACAGCGGGGACGCTGTATTCCCAGTGGGGGAGGATGTAATGTCCCACATCGGTTGGAGAGGGGAACGAAGCATGCCTTATAAGGGTGTGGATACCTCTTCTACTGTGAGGCCTTTTGTGGGGTGTCCCAAGAAACAAAACCGTGAGCCCGAGGGCAAAGCGGACAATATCATGCTACAGGGTTTGGGGCTGTTACATTTGGTATCAGAGCCTGGCCCTGGACCGGTGTGTACAGCGGGGACGCTGTATTCCCAGTGGGGGAGGATGTAATGTCCCACATCGGTTGGAGAGGGGAACGAAGCATGCCTTATAAGGGTGTGGATACCTCTTCTACTGTGAGGCCTTTTGTGGGGTGTCCCAAGAAACAAAACCGTGAGCTCGAGGGCAAAGCGGACAATATCATGCTACAGGGTTTGGGGCTGTTACATTTGGTATCAGAGCCTGGCCCTGGACCGGTGTGTACAGCGGGGACGTTGTATTCCCAGTGGGGGAGGATGTAATGTCCCACATCGGTTGGAGAGGGGAACGAAGCATGCCTTATAAGGGTGTGGATACCTCTTCTAGTGTGAGGCCTTTTGTGGGGTGTCCCAAGAAACAAAACCGTGAGCTCGACGGTGCTTGTGCGCGGGGCAAAGCGGACAATATCATGCTACAGGGTTTGGGGCTGTTACATATAAGATAATATCTTTCAATATTTGGTAATGCACTATATAATACTAAATAGGATAAAAATAAATATTTTACAGAAAAATGTCCTTGAATAAAGAATTTATATAATTTTCCAAATATGTCATATGATATTAATTTTTTTTAAAATATATTGATCAGTGTGTACAAAAAATATATTAGTTTTATTAAAAATAAATATTTTCAATATTTTAAAAGTTAATATATGAATATTTTTATTTTTATTTTAATATATTAATAATGAAATAATATATTAATTCTTGAGAATTGTACTTGTAAGCAATATTAATATACTAACCCATCATCAGGCCTAAATCTATCTCGTTAAGCCTGATTAAGTTATACATCATTTTGATGTATTAAGAGATTCTGCTGTATAAGCTTATACCATACGATAGTTATACCAAATAATTAATTAAAAATGTCATAACGTATAGTATAAACTTATTCTATCAAACTTTATACGTCACACCAAATATCCCTTATATCTGTCCCCTTGTTATTAAATTTGCAAGCAAGTTTGGTTGTTAGTATCTTTGCTAGCTGATGCTCTCGCACTTGCATTCTATTTACATGCATGTAGAAGTTGTACAAGACCAATTGATCAAAGCACATCTCCAATGGAGTTTAGCCCATCCAGTTGCCAAGTGTTGTGTGAACTCAAGTGAATAAAATTCTGTGATCTATCAAATGTATTAGCGGTATTCCACACCATGAATTTGAGTATGTAGGAAGCTCCCATTTTCTCCAATAACATACATTGCACTTTTAGTAGAATACATGTTATAGTAGAAAAGTAAAATTTTTAAAATACCTTTTACTTTTTATTCTAAATTTCAAAACGATATCGTCTTTGAATTGCAGAAGATAACTTTAAAAGAAACATTTTTCTTTTATTTTTAACAAAAAAATTGAAAATACCCTTTTAAAATCAAAGGAGGACAAGATAAAATCGAGAAAATCGTTACAAGGTCAAACTATAATTGATTGTAGGAAAAAAAAAAGTGTTATTTTAAAGGACACAAATTTAAGTCATTTTAAGAAAGAGATAGACACAAAGAGGTGAGTCTCACACCTTTATTTTTTTTGTTTTTATTTTTTAGTGGGACCCACTCCTCTTTGTGTTTATCTCTCTCTTAAATTGATATAAGCTTGTATAGTTTAAAAAACACATACTTTTTCCTTAATTGTATTAAAAAGAAGTTAAAAAAGTACGAATATTAATATAAATTGTTTCCTAAAGTCAAAAAAAAAAAAAAATCTCCACACTGTATTAGAAAGAAAGTTCCAAAACTAATTAATTCGGGAATTTAAAAAAATATGTAAAAAAAGAATGCATTTTTAATGGTGAAATAACTCATCTTAAGAAAAAAGAGATGATAACAAGAAATAAAATGACTTTCAAGTTTAGATTGTTACATATCTATATATATATATATGTATATATATATATATATATATATACATATATATATATATATATATATAGGTAGGATCATTTAACACCGATGTCAAATTTTAAATTTAATTTGACACCTCATCTGAGAACTGTTAGATAAAAAAAGATCATTGGTGTCACATGCTTACAAATTAGAGTCGTTGATTTTTTTTATCTAATATTAGCTCTCAGATGAGGTGTCAAATTTCAAATTTGACACTGGTATAAAAGGATCATGTCTCATTATATATATATATATATATATATATATATATATATATATATATATATATATATATATATATATGAAGATCATGTCATCTCTGTGCATGATATTATACAAGAAATTGCTAGTGAAGACCCTGGAAGCCGCAGTCATTTGCGGGATCCAAATGACATTTATAAAGTATTAAAATATGAAAAGGTAAAAGCATGAATTACATATATATATATATATATATATATATATATATATATATATATAAAAAAGGGTGGATTGATAAACTTAGACTTTTATATATCGATGAATTAATATATTAAAAAAATTAACAAAAATCAATCAAATCCAAACTGTAAATTGGATTGAATTAAATTATATTTAAATTTTGAATCAAAACAATAAGATATTATCATAAGAAAACTGAAATGGTTTATAAACTGAATCGGCTTTGTTCTTCCCACAAAAAATTATTCAATCCCATTCGTAAATATGACCTTACTAAAATAAACAATTGGTCAAACACAAAATAAAAATAATAGATCTAAAGGGAACTAATAAAATCTCGCAAAGAAGTGGAGAAATTAAAGGCCAGTTAAATGGAGAAGTTCCTTAATTAACTACGACGACCTTAACTATTAGAAGCCTGATTTAAGTTGGTCATACCCGTGAGAAGTGTTGGGAAATCCATGAGAAACCTGCCAATTAAAAGCCAAAAAGGCAGAATAAAGGTCGTGCATATCAGGTCTCTACTGATGATTAGGTTGATGAAACTCATGCATCCTCTAACTCGATTGTGTGTTTCTCAGTAGGACTCAGCTTGAACAACTTCATAGGCTTATGACTCAACCTCATAAGGCCACTAGTAATGTGGCCTAGAAAGGTACAACTTTCCATGTTGATAGTCAAAGGCTTTCACATATAGACCTAGCTATTGGGATGAATTTGAGATGGGCTAGGTGAAGATGGTTTAGCAGGTCTATCTGGAACTCAGTAAATGAAAAATGAAGACTAACATTTGTAATTAAATCACAATAGAAGAAGAAGAAGTGAGGCTCTTCCGGGTTCCTCTTTGAGCATACAGGAGGAAACACATCATAGCCGACCGGGTTACCGACGGGAAGCCCGACTCCATCTTCGGGACTCATGTCTGACATAATTTTTAAGACTTATCCCAGGGATATCGAGCTACTAGCTTGTCACAAGCAGGTTCACCCCCCGATTCAACAGAGGTTGTTTCAGTTTCTACCTCTGTAAAAAATGACGCCATGAAAACCTAGAACAAGGAAAGCTAAGATTAAAAAAATGACACAAATACCTGAATCAAAAGAACTACTACTGAATGAGTTTGATATCTCGTCCAAGATTGTAATAGGATGAATTGCGTCTCTAGTAACCAAATCCGACTTCGGAAGACCTTTTTGATGGGGGTAACTGGTCAAAGTAGATTCAGCAAGAAAATCCAAGTTGCGCTCAACGAGCTTAGAACTCAGATAAATGCAAGTAAAACGGGGTTCAATCTCTCGGTCCCTTTATATGAATCAAAAGATCTCAAATTAAGAGCCAAAGAGGACGTCCCTTCGTTTTCCCCCGTTGGGCCCTCCGAATGATTATCACAAGCATTAGAGATATTTGACTTGTTTAACCTCGGATGAATCGGAGGTATCGAATTCGCAGGATGCCGAATATCTATTCGCGAAGAACTTGCATAATTTCCACCCCGACCAAACGGTCGAGTCTGCCCTAGTTTATAGGAGGACGAGAACCAGGCTTCTTCTTGCCACATTCGACACGATAATCTCGAAGTATTAATGCTTGCTTCTCCTCTTCAGTTTGATCTATCCCCCAAAACCAATATTTCAGCCCAGCAGAAAGGTTCTGCAAGAACTCAACGTCATCCTCCTCCACTTGTCACATCGGCCAAACCCCCTTGGGCATGTCGAGACACCTCAACCTCTCCCACTCATCCTCTTGAATACTCTCGTGTATGAAATATTTGGGAAGAAGAATAGTATGAAATAACTACCCAGAAAGGTAAAAGTTACCTAGGAAGCACTACCTAGAAATATGAAGTTACGCTAAGCCACACAGAGATTACCCAAACAAGAAAGAGAAAATGCCACAATTTCAATAACTAGAAAGGAAAAAGCAAGTATCACAGAGTCAAGCAGAGGAAAGTTTGAGGAAGGATACATGTGTGAAGATGAAAGAAGAATTTGAAACCTCTGAAGAAAGAACAAACAACGGGAACTTTCAAGCAAAGTAAGCAAAGTTTTGTAGAAGAATGGTGATGGGAAAGTGCTATGCAAGCATATATTAGCGAGAAATGCGTAAACTTTGAGAATACAAAAACCCAAAAATGAACGCACTTTGCGAAGGATAATAACAATTTGAAGAAGAAATGAGAGAAATGTGAAAAAAAAACATATAAATCATTTGGGGCGCGAAGAAGAGTCGACGTAGGAGCTCAAAAGGTCAAGGATAGAACGGTCTTTTCAGAGGGGGGCATGACAGTTGAAAGGATAGTTGCAGCAGGTCATCATTATGCACACAACGCGAAGGCGACATTTGCATATTGAGGCATGCCTTGCCAACTAAAGTAGGGCACGTGTAATGAAATAATCGTATATCGAAGATGCAAAGGCATAATGCTATTAACTCGATCCACAATTTTGGAATTGAGATAGCTTTAAGGAGAAACATATGGATTCGAGATCCAAGATAGAGCACTTAGCAAGGTTTCCAACCTCAAGCAATGAGTTTAAGCTCGGCTATGAGTAAACAACGATGAGTTGCAGTAAAGACTTGTCCATCTCGAATAGTGAAAGATAGAGTGAGAAACTTGGCTCAGAATATGGATATCAGACCCGTTATAAATATCACATTATATTCATCTCGGCGGCCTAGACTCCTAAACCACCGGGCTGGCTGGACAAATACGTTATTTGTAACACCCCATATATATCCGGTAATGTTATCATATCATCGTATTAAGCTGTGCTTAATTAAAAATGTGGAATATATTTTTCTTTTCATTTATGATGTCATTATCATTACCAACTTGCTTAATTAATCATTTAAATAAAACCATGCCTGTAAGTAAATTGCAAAAGACAGTTAACTGAAATACCTCATTAATTGAACTAACAGATATATGTCTCTAGTCACGGAACTACAACACGTAGACCGGACCAACTAGTAGTTTAAATAACTCAAGCTAAAAGTGCTAACAAAATAGTAGCATGGACAACTCCCATGCTCACCCAAATAAGGCGACAAAGCCCAACACAAGTCTCAACTCAATAACCATAAATGACAGAAAACATAAACAACATCCAATCCAGTCATGCCAGCATAAATATAACAGCAATAATCATCAACTAAGCTCTGGCCTCCTTCCGCCAGAGGCATCAATCCACATACTACCTGAACCTGAAATAAGCATTTCCCAAACGTGGGGTGAGATCTCTAAACAAGAAATCTCAGTAAGAGAAGGGGTCCTCAAGGATCTTCCACCCCAAGCTCACTTACATGTGCAATATAAGTTCTAAAAGCAGTATTTTAATATCAGATCCAAAATCAGTGCAATGCAACAGATATTCATGTCATGTGTGTTATAACAATTCTACTGATCAGAGAAGTGCAGGAATACGTCTATTACCCACACAGTACCAGCCCATGTTGTACCCACCCCAAAGGACCACCCCATGGTTTCCCTTTAAGGCAAACACCACATAAATATCATACAACAATTGCACTTAACAGCTCCATAGCATTTCAATAAAACAGTACATGAAAACACATCATGCATATAACCATCCCCCCATGGGACATAGTGGAACAAACAATGGCTAAACCGAGGACACGAAAGCTTACCTTGTAAGCTAGCTATCCAAACCAAGAGTCCACACAAGCTCAAGGCCCACAAACAGCACAATCACAATCTGTTCATACCATAATTAATCATCAATAATCATAGCTCAGATTACATTAAGTGATTAAGTCTTTCTTACTCGTTTTAACTCATTACATGTTGTTTCTGTAGGAAGTATTCGAATACTCCACGAGTAGTATTCGAATACTCCAGCTCTTCAGAAAGTATTCGATTACTTTCATTTAAGTATTCGAATACTACCAAGTATCCGAATACTTTTTCCCCCAGTATCTGAATACCACAGTATCCGAATACTAAACCTCACTGTATTCGAATACTTTCCAGTATTCGAATACTTCTTCAAAGGTATCCAAATACTTTTCTTCCCAGAAAAGTATCCCAATACTCCTGCAAGGAGTATTCGATTACCATGAACAAGTATTCGAATACTACACGAAAAGTATTCGAATACTTCTTCAACAGAATGCAGAAATTCGAGCCAACTTCTGCATAATCCCAAATTTAAGGATCCAAAAGCGATTGGGAGTCCAATGACTCCCTAAACAGATAACCACCAACAGGTTATGAACCCAAAAACACCTTTCTTTACTCAAAAGGTTAAAGCTTTACTTTTTAAAAGATTAAACAAGCTTTAAACTCCAAAAATGACAAAGAATGATCAAGGTATACCTCCAAGAGGTTTAAACTCAGAAAAGACTCCTCCTTGGAGCCTCTAACACAGTCACACAACTCAGACTTCTGATCACCACGATTTGACATCACAAGATGATGTCTTTCCCCACAAACTCACAACTTGGAACTAAAAAATGCCACCACCAAGTGACTAACCACTCAAACTCAGAAAAACAGCCCCAACAATCCTCACAAACAGAACTCAACTCAGAAACAAGGCATCCTCACCTCCTCACCATGTACTACTAAGTGTTTACAAGTCTTAATGTAAAGAAATCCAAAGAAAAGATGAGTTCTTGGCCCTCAAACAAGCACAAGGGTCCAAGCTCCAAGATAAGAAGCAATGGCTGAAGTGAAAGTAAAATGGCCTTGAAGGCCGTAGCATGTGAGAGGGAAAAACAAAAAATTTCATATGCAAAATTACACATGCAATCAAGAATCATACTTTATGGCATGTGATGTTACCTTTTTTGTAAGTTCAAAACTCCAAGACGATCAGTGTTAGGTTTGAAGGGTTCAAACCTTCTAACGTTGATCCACACCACCCACGTCGAGATGCAAGAACTCTTTCTTGAAAGCCACCAATTGACCATCACAGAGAGGCTTGCTATGCGCTCAATAGGTGAAGAAGGAGGATAGGTATATGTGTTTAGAATAGTGAAGTCTCCAGCATGAAAACTTCACAAGAGTGCGAATGGTATATAGAAGAATTGGCTAGGTTCTTTTGAAAAACCTTAAGGAGGAACTCACCAACTAGGCGCACAAGAGAGGGAGAGAATTAGTGTATCAAATCAAAATTTTACTTTACTTATAATGAAAGTGGCGCACAAGTGAGTGAGACAAAATTGGAGTTGTTGCAATTCAAAAATCCCAACAACCTCCCCTTTGAATCCTCATAAGACTAGGTCTTTATCTAGTCAAAATTCTGAACCAATGGTCATCATATGACCACCAATTCATGCGCCCCTATTCAGCCCAAAAAAAGTCCAGATACATTTGAGCTGTTGCATTCGAGTTTGAACCAACTAGCTCACTGATTCTCTCAACAACCAAATCTGATTGGAGCTTGTTGGTTTGACAAGATGACAATCATCTCCCACCAAAATGGCGCCCCAAATCAGCCCTTGGAGATCTCCATAGATCTTCTCTTGATACAAGGGATTTGTTCCAACAAGATCTCATCTTATCCTTTTGTTATGAAACAAATTTTCATAGCCAATTCAAATTCGAATTCAAACATTAAATTCAAACATTCAAGCATTTAAATTCTAAATTCAAATTCTAAATTCAAATTCAAATTTCAAATTCAAAATTCAAATTCAAATTCAAAATTCAAAATTCAAAATTCAAATTTCAAATTTCAAATTTCAAATTCAAAATTCAAATTTCAAAATTCAAATTAAAAATTCAAATTTCAAATTTCAAATTTCAAAATTCAAATTTCAAAATTTAAATATTTGATAATTAATTTAACTAATTAAATTAATTAGTAATGTCTTGGACCATCCAAGCCCATTAACAATACCATGCGCCCTCTCCCTCTTAGGTGGGCTTCCAAACTTCATCTTGGGCTAACAACCATTATTAGGCCCAATACTTTTAATGCTATATCATCATGACATTAAGGTGTTAGTGTGTGACCCATTAGGTCCAACATAGCCACTGACATAAATGGGCTCGGGCCCAACAAGCTCACAACCCATTTAATGACAACACAGAGCACTAGCAATGCTTTGTTGCCCCAGAGCTAGTTAGATTAATGACTTGATCATCCTATTACACATATTTGGTTGCCATATGTATTTATTTTCGTCTCGTTTACCTTCCAATAAAACCTAGGGTAAGGAAGCGTATCAACCCTCGCGGTTTAGGGTAAGCTTTATTCGAAATAGGGAATCTTCAATTTACTGACTCTAAAGCCAGATCATCTCATGATCTCTTTTACTATGCATATATTCCCGAGTCCCTGTAAATGTCATCCCGATTTCTCCGGTTTACAGATAACCTAATCTCTCACAGAGATTTGACGAATTCCTTCAGCTTATCACCCTAGCCCTGTGCTTTTTCAGGATAAGCCCAACAGTATACCTACGAGTCTCCATGTTTCAGGCAGACGAGGTATACAGTCAAAGCATGCCTTCTAGAACACAATCTAGGTAATAACTTTTGGTCTAAGGAAAGACATACCCAAATATAAAGAGATTACTCTAATGATACTCTCTGTGAGATTTCCTCATAGAGTCTCTTTTGTGGGTCTGTTCAGTGCGAGTTATACCCTTATAGATCCACCCACGACTTTAGCTAAGACATCTCTATATCTGTAGCTCATGAGGTCTTTACCTTGCATCTGAATACAAGTAGATAAGTCGTGCTAGTCTTACCCGAGATCACTGATCCCCATTCTCAGTGTCTCTAGACTAGGAACATAAAATTATGAATAAATATCCAGTATCCTTGAATCCTCATGATCGTGATCTCATCACAGATACTCAAGAGATACCTATTTTATTCCAAGGGGTTTATCCAGTTACTCATATAAAATATTAACAGTAATATTGAGACAAAATATGAAACAGGATAAATAGTGCTTTTATTTATTTGCGACAATACAAAGGTCCACATATGTCTTAATCTAATTAAAAGATTGTCTCTAGGACATCCATATACTAACATGAAGATAATCAGCCCTCAAGACACTCACGTAGCAGCCAAATTATGGCCTAGGGTTTTGTGCCTTTTAGCTTAAATAGGTTCACTTAAAATAAAACACAGTATTAACATTAATAGCTACGCTTAGCATTTTAATCTCAAACTCAGGATTCTTAACCTACTCAATTTTACAAGAAATATCATATTTTTCTTATATTTTTCGCAGCACCTTTCCGGTACGCGCTTTTCATAGCCAGTATCAGTTTCTGGCACCAGTTCTCATTATTTTAACTTGAAACTCGTTTTACAAGTCCTTGATGTGCCTCTGGCAAGTGTGGTTTTCTGTGTTGAAATTGATAAGAATTGAGTAATAAAAGAACAACTTAAATACATATTTGCTAATTATATTCATTCTTTCTTTTCAATAATATTTCTCACCTATTGGTTGTGTTTTTACAGGAAAAAGAAGTGAAAATTATAAAAATTCCGTTAACGCAATTCCACACGGGTGCAGCACACTACAAATTCCAGAGCGCGGACCGGCGGCACACTGGCGCACACCCGCGCCAGTTTGCGAACTTCACAGCGGTACTTTGCAAGTGGCGCCAACTGGCGCCACTATGGCGCCAACCGGCGCCGGTTTCTTGAAGAATAAAAGCACAGGGGAGTGGCGCCAAATGGCGCCAAAAGCAACCAATTCATAGCGCAAAATGGCGCCAATTCATAGCAATTTGTGGCGCAAAGTGGTGCCCAAGAACATAGAAAGGATGGCGCCAACTGGCGCCCAAAAAGTAGAAGGATGGCGCCAAGTTACGAAGAAGCTTTTCCGACTTTTCTATTCGGACAGAGGCGTGGCGCGGAGTGGCGCCAAACCGGCGCCAACTGGCGCCGGGTTGTGGGAAAATAATACTGTGCTGCGCGAAGGGTATTTTTGGAAGAAAGAAGCGAGATTATAAATAGGATCCTTATTATAATTTTCCGGGATACTTTTTCGGTACGCATTTTATACCGACTAGCAGAACCGGTATCTGCGTTTTTCGTCAGAAAAACGACTTTCAACGTTATTACTCACTTACTATAATTATTAAAGCCTCATAATAATTATTAGGGTCAATTATTGAATTATTTCCTAATTCTAATATTTAATTAATTAAGTTCCTTAATTAACGGTGCGGGTTCTTACATTATTTCTCAGAACCAACACTCGACGATGAAATCAACAGGGCCGATGTAGCAGCATTATTGGCCAATCTCAAATGAAAAATTTGATGTCACAGTGCAGCCGATAGCAGGCAATGAAAACACGGATACCCGGCCAGCCCAAGCTATAGCGCAAAATACAATCCGAGATCCTAAAGCTTGTTCCATGGTTGCATATACAACATAATATGCACCCAGTAAGCCCGGACACTCAGACTACCAGGCTGGGGGCAACTATTATGGACCCATATAAGGGGCCCTTATTCTAGAAGTCCCAATGAAGGGCAACACAAAGCGAAAACTAATACAAGTAAAGGAAAACATCAATCAAGGATGCTAATCCTAATACGAAGAGTTACCCAAGATCGAGAATTCTACTACCCACAGGTAAACTTTATAGATAAGAGATAAAACCTGCTAGTGTGATCACTTATCTTTCTACGGTTATGTACGAACATTATTATAAGGTCAAACTAAAATTGACTGTATTAGAAAGAAGTTCAAAATGTACGAACATTAATATAAATTGTCTAGAAGTCATAAAAAAAATGTCCATACTGTTTAAAAATAATCTAAAATAATTAACTTGAATTTAAAAAATATAAAGAAAAAGGAATGCGTTTTTTTAATGATGAAGTAATTAAGTCATCTTAAGAAAAAAGAGAGATGATAATAAGCCATTAAATCACTTTGAAGGCGAGTTTATTATATAAGGGTGGATTGATAAACTTAGACTCTTATATTTTGATGAATTAATATATTGAAAAAATTAACAAAAAAACGATCAAAATCCAAACTGATTTAAATTGAATTGAATTAGATTAAATTAAAATTTTGAATCAAACCAATACGATATTATTATAAGAAGGGAAAAGTGAAATAGATCGAATCAGTTTAGTTTTTCCCCAAAAAATAATTCAATCCAACTCGCAAAACATCCCTACTAATATAATTGGTCAAAGACAAAATTTAAACAATTGTTCAGGAACCCGCAAAAAGAAAAGAGGAAATTAAAGGCCAGCTAAATGCAAGTACGGAGAAGTTTCTTAATTTACTACGACAACGTTAACTGATGAATATATATTTTTTTTTTTTGATACAATGATTGTAATTCTTTATGAACTGTCTTACCTAACATCGAATTGAATTGTTCTATTAAAGACGGCATGTTGTCAATTTGTTCATATACAAATGATTCCAACCCGGACAGCGTTTGGCGTGTTAACTTTTCCCTTCATTATGCACCGCTTTAATTAATTTATATTCATATAGAGGTGACTTTTTTATTTGCTTAATATAAATCTATATACAAATCCAATGCTGTCAGGGAGAGTGTAAGTATGCAATTGCTTCCGGGTTGTAACTGAAAAGTCAACTTTCAATGCAATTGTTTCTTGCTTAAATTTTGTTATACGGTCAATGAAATTGCATCTTCTATCTATAAAACTGCTTATCAAGATGGTTGTTGCTCCAACATATATGAGCAAGATTTGAATCCGATACCTAATTCGGTGAAACATTCGAGGTTAGTAATTGCTTTCACATTGATCTGCATCATTTATTCTTTTTTGGCCAAAGAAAAGGTGGGAAACAAAGAAAAGAAATGAAATAGTAAAAGATCAAGCAGAGAAATTTATTGCTTACTTGTTTTTACAGACTAAAGATTATTTATTATGATTGGCAGATTGGATCTACATTAAGGCTTAATTTGAAAGCATGCAAATCCAGAAGTAGCTGGTATTGTCATATGATATCCCCCTCCTTCCTCTCCTTTTGGTTAACCACTAATTTGATCTTGTTAAAAAGTTCTATTTTTCAAGTTCTTTGATCTTTTCATTTGTTTTCTCTCTTTCTTCTTCTTTCCAGTTAACTTGTGGCTCCCTTTGATATTCAAGGGTTTAAAGAAAGATACAGAGTGCTCTTGTTCCAATCCAACTAGCATATTATTTGTCTCTCTTGGTTGTTTCAAAAATTGAATATTTTTGTAGGACTTGAATAAAAGTTTACTGCTAGTCCATGCACCTTGATGCTGCTCCAACTTATATGAGCAAGATTTGAATCTGATCTCTAATCAGCAAAGCATCGATTCGGTAACAGGTTTGAGGTCAGTATTTACTTTACAACAATCGCCATCATTTATTCATTTTTGGGCAAAGATAATGTGGAAAACAAAGAAACGAAGAATGAGACGGAAAAAGATCAAGTAGAGATATTGCTTGCGTACTTCTTTATAAATACTATATTGATTATTGATCCTGATTAACAGATTGGATCAAGATAAAGGCTTCATTTGAAAGCTTGCTAATACAGAAGTAGTTGGTATTATCATATGATATCCTCCTACTTCCCCTCCTTTTGGCTAACCACTGTTTTGAACTAATTGTTATAATTAAAGTTCTATTCTTTCAAGTTCTTCTGATCTTTTCATTTGTTTTGATGTAGTTGAAAGCAGGCCTGTAATTATGGGAAATGCGGAGTCAATGGATGAACCTCAAGATAATTTTTACCGACCACCCCCTTCTTATGCTGGGAGTCCAGTGAATAATAGTAATAAAGTAAGCATTTTCTGTTGTCTAGAGAACATTGAATCTGTACGCACCTTATTTTTTAGTCTTCATTTCTATCCAATATGATGGTTTGGGGTGTACAAAGGACTGAAATGAGAGTAAGATCGAATTGTATTTTTTCAGCTTGAGTGTGGTGCATTTGGCTGGAGAGCAATTCCATAATCTGCAGCCACGTTTTCAAACGCGGCTGAACATCATTTTTTTGGTAGTATTTAATCAACATTTGGTAAATAAGGGCAGGTCCGTATATAATTTAAATAGAGGGGCAAATTGACTTATAGTTTAAGAAAATGAACAACTTAATAAATAAAGGGAAAAAGGTGTGCCATTTTAAATGACACACCTTATATTCTTTCACTCTCACAAAAAAGTAGAATCCACACCTTTAAAAATTTTCTCATTCATTCTTTTTCTCATGATTTATCTTTTTCTCTCACTTAAAATGACACAATTTTGTGTCCTTCAAAATGATACACACTTTTCCCATAAATTAATTTTAAAAGAAGGATAAAATGGTCAATCAACCTTGATGTTTTCATTTGTTTTCTCTCTTTCTTAAGAGGCAAAGAAAGATCTAGAGTGCACTTGTTTTGATATTCAAGTGTTTAAGAGGCAAAGAAAGATCTAGAGTGCACTTGTTTCAATACAACAAGCATATTCTTTGTCTCTGGGTTATTTCAAAAATTGAATATATTGTATTTCTTTGTCCTTTATTTATTTCTTAATATGTTGTATTTATTTGTCTCTTTTTTATTTCCAAAATTGAAGAGTGTAACGGCAAAGAAAAAGTCAGGCAAAGCTCCTCAAAAAAAATATGATGTTTTTGTTAGCTTCAGGGGCCCGGACATTCGTCATGATTTTCTCAGCCATTTGATTGATGCTTTTCGTCGAAAGCAAATATATGCCTTTGTAGATTATAAACTTGAAAGAGGAGATGAAATATCACCGTCATTTTTTGAAGCAATCGAAACATCATTAATTTCATTGATCATATTCTCAGAAGACTATGCTTCTTCACATTGGTGTTTGGAAGAACTTGAGAAAATAGTTGAGTGCAGAGACAAATATGGACAGACTGTAATACCTATTTTCTACAATATAGATCCCACAAATGTACGACATCAAAAGAAGAGTTATGGAGAAGCGCTAGCTGAACATGAAAAAAAGTATAATATGACAAGGGTGCAAACATGGAGGGATGCTTTGAACAAATCTGCAAATTTATCTGGAATTAAGTCATCAGATTTCCGGTAAGCTTTTTTATTTTCTACCAACAAATGTTAAATATTTTTTTTGTTGTTTATTTGTTATATAGATCTATGCATATTAGTAACAGGTTGTAGCTTAAAAATTGTTTTCACTAGAATTTATGTTTACTAGTTATTATTTCCACAAATATTAGTCAATGTCACATAACATTACCTTAATATTTGTTTAAATGAAAACAAACCCTAAATTTGATTCTAAATTATAGCCCATCCTATACCCAAACCTTGGTTAACTTAGCACCACTGAGAATTTCAAGAATGAAAAAGAAAAAAGAAAAAAAAGACCATTTATTAATTAATAATAATATAAAAATGAAAAAAAAAAATATTTGATCGATTTCAAGAATTGCAAGGTACTATTCTTTACCTTTATTATGTTCTCAATTATATTTCATGCTTTTATTTTTTTTACTTAACCTTATATATACATTAAATTAGAGCGTTCTATTGAGACTGATTTAATTTTTAATTTTGTTCTATCTTAAAGAATGAAATATGTCATTTTTTATTTTTATTTTTGGTGAAAACATATGTCATTCTTAAATTAGACCCAAGTAATATAATAAAGCATATTTAAATTTCCGAATTATAAGTGTAATTGATTCATATATTTCAAGATTTCTAAAATCATCCAACAAGGTCTGTCCCCCCCCCACCACACACACACAACAACAACAAAAAAGGTGAAGTTACAGAAATTTAATTAAATTTCATACGTTTTCTCTTTCTCTCTGAATTGTATAGGGATGAAGTCCAGCTACTTGATGAAATCATCAAAACCATCAATCATCAATTAACGATGAGGTTAAATAAGCAGCCAATTCAGTCAAAAGAACTTGTTGGAATTGGCAAATCAATTGTACATTTAGAATCATTGTTACGTCAGGAGTCAAAAGATGTGCGTGTTATTGGAATTTGGGGTATGGGCGGTATTGGCAAGACAACCATTGCACAAGAAATTTTTAACAAACTAAGTTCTGAATATGATGGTTGTTGTTTTTTGGCAAACGTGAGAGAAGAATTAACAAGAGGCAGTGTCAATTCCTTAAAAGAGAAACTCTTTTCTACAATATTAGCTCAAGATGTGAAAATTAACACAGCAAATGAATTGCCCGGTTCCGTGATGACGAGGCTTGGTCGTATAAAGGTTCTCATTGTTCTAGATGATGTCAATTATGTAGATCACCTAAAAATTTTGGTTGGAGGTCATGATCGGTTTGGACTAGGTAGTAGAATCATTGTAACAACTAGAAATATGCAAGTGCTTGTGGCTTACAAAGTTGATGATGATGACATATACGAGGTAGGAGCATTGGAGTTTGACGAAGCACTTGAGCTTTTCAATTTTCATGCCTTCAAACAAAATCATCTTGATATGGAGTATTATGAGCTATCAAAGAGGGTGGTCAAATATGCCAAAGGGATGCCGTTAGTTCTTAAAGTTTTGGGTCATCTTCTTTGTGGAAAAGATAAGGAAGTGTGGGAAAGTCAGATAGACAACATTAAAAGAATACCAGATAAGACAGTTTATGATGTAATGAAGCTAAGCTATGATGATCTAGATCGCAAAGATAAAAGGATATTTTTAGATCTTGCATGTTTCTTTAGTGGATTGAATTTGAAAGTGGTCTGCATAAAACTTTTATTGAAAGATCATGCAAGTGATAATGCAGTGGTTGCTGGGTTAGAAAGGCTCAAAGACAAAGCTCTTATAATTATTTCTAAATATAATGTCGTCTCAGTGCATGATATTATACAAGAAATGGCTTGGGAAATTGTTTGGCACAGATCTAATGAAGATTATGGAAGCTGCAGTCATTTGGGGGATCCTAATGATGTTTTTGAAGGATTAAAATATGACAAGGTAAAAGCCTAAATTAAATATAAAATATTTTTTATAAGATTTGAATCTTTTGCAGGAAATGAGGCTTTTAATTGTGTTTAAATTTTTTTTTCTACTTTTTGGCAGGGGTCTATGGCCATTAGAAGCATAAGGGCGTTCTTTTCACAAGGCAGTGAGCTCATGTTGAGCCCTCACGTATTTGCTAAGATGAGCAAACTACAATTTATGGATTTTGAATGCGCATATGATCTGGAATGCTTATATCTTCTTCCTCAAGAGCTTGCATCTTTGCCAACTGAACTAAGATATCTTCGTTGGAAGAGTTACCCTCTGAAATCCTTGCCAGTGAAATTTTCTGCGGAAAAACTTGTTATGTTGGACTTATCATACAGTAGTGTGGAAAAACTTTGGGATGGAGTACAGGTAAATATATGTGTTCATCTGTTATAATTTTCTCTAAGTTCAAGGAATACTAAATTAACAACTTATGCTCATTTGTGATGTCTTTGTTCTATTTTGTTACAGAATTTGGTGAATTTGAAAGAAGTTAACCTCTCTCGGTCGAGATTATTGAAGGAGCTGCCAGACTTTTCAATAGCCACTAACCTTGAAGTACTTGATATCTCTTGGTGTGAAAAGTTGACTAGCGTTCACATATTCTCTCTCCACAAGCTTGAGGAATTGGATGTACATTGCTGCAGTTCCCTTGTCAGACTTACAAGCGATACCCGTTTAAACTCTCTCAAATGTCTGAACCTTGAAACCTGCCATAAACTCAGGGAATTCTCAGTAACATCAGCGAATATGATCGAACTGAATTTAAGATTCACCTGTGTGGATGCATTGCCCGCATCTTTTGGACATCAAAGCAAGCTTGAAATCCTAGACCTTGCATGTTGTGAAATTGAGAGCTTTCCTTCATCAATCAAAAATCTTACAAGACTGCACCATCTAAACGTAGATGGTTGTCAGAAGCTTAAGACTCTACCCGAACTTCCCCCCTCCCTTCAAACTCTACTTGCCAAATATTGCAGATCATTGGAGACTGCATTGTTCCCTTCAACTGCCACTGAACAATTCAATGAAAATAGGAGAAGGGTTCAGTTCTGGAATTGCTTGAACTTAGTTGAACATTCTCTCATGGCTATTGAGTTAAATGCGCAAATTAACGTGATGAATTTGGCACATACAAATTTATCCATGGGAGAACACCGTCATATTCAAAATTACTATCGTCAAGCAAAGTACGCGTATGTGTATCCAGGATGCAGAGTTCCAGATTGGTTGGAGTATAAGACGACAACTGATTATGTAATTATTGATCTCTCTTCTTCTCCAACCTCCCCTCCGTTAGGCTTCATTTTCGGCTTCATCATCGGAGAGAAACAAGTAATTAGCTCATTGAAATTTAACATCATTATCACTGATGGTGAGGGTGAGGGTAACATGGGCAGTGTCCATATGTACATGGCTACGCAAACTATCGTCTTTGCTGACTCTGATCATGTGTGTGTGTTGTACGACGAGCACTGTTCTAGCTACCTAAATAGCAAGGCCAGGACACAGACAAGGTTTAAAATCAAGGTTACAGTAGACTCAGAAATAACATCATTGCGGATTGCCTTAAAAGGGTTTGGGGTAAGCCCAATAAGCACACTGTCATATCGAAATTTCATTAATCAAATGGAATTTGCGTGATTGTACGGGGCATGTAGTAGAGGAGATATTTTTTTAATGGAAATAAAAATTTACAGAAATATGGTGATACTATATTTAGTTTATCGTAAAATATTGATGGGAATTCTAATTGAAATGACAAAATTACCCATCTGTTATTATATTGTATAAGAGTATTTTTGTCTTAAAATATGAAAATACGTTTTGTCACACTCAATTCTAGAACCGATCTGTTAACATTACATATGACATTAAGCGCAATTATAATCACAATAATTTAATTAATATACGGAAAACTTTTTCCTTTTGCGTTAATAAATGTTTCTGTTTAAAATCAATTCTGTAATTAAAACAATTCTAAAAGTTGTAATTATAACTTAAACAATACGCGGGACACCTAAGGTTTATTTAACCATGTCATACATCACTCCCACAAAGCGCCGAACATCTTCACTTTTTAATTACTCCAGGAATTCTATAGCTCCTTTATGCTACTCATCTCCCACTATATTATATATCTCTTCGTTAACTACTCGTGGATTCAAACCGCGCTCAATTTAAAACACCGTAGCTCAAGTTATGAATTTTTGAAGAAAATAGTGCTGAGTTTCATGGGGCCCGCGCTGACAGCACTCGCCCGACGCTCATAGCACTAGAAAATGGATTTCCCATTGTCTTACGGCGCAAACTTGGCTCTAGCAATGCCAACCCACTGTTTGACAGCGCTATTAGTGCCACCAATGAGATATGAGATACTCATAAACATTATTAATATAATTCCAAGATCCATACTTATATCTTTTATAAATCGACTTATATCCCTTTTAATATCATGAATTTTCATACATTTTCTTAATAATTTCTATTCATATCAACTTATAATATTTAACGAAAAATCATAAATAATCGTAACAAAATTCTAAAACCTCATAATTACATATATAACATTCAAATAATTTCCTTTTAACTTACACTTACTAATCATCCACAATTTACATATAATTTATAATTTCATTTAATCACATACTTAGCACCAATACATAATGACACAACCAAGACTTCCTTATACAATCAAAATTCCATATCTTTCTTTTTAGCCTTTTCATGTGTAGATTCTCTTAATTTTAGCCTACACCTTATCAAACTCTTAATTTTCACATAACCATAAAGAGACCTATTCAACAAATAACTTAAATTATAACTTGGAATTTAGCAACCAAGTTAAAGTTCACAAATTGATCTAATCTTAACTTTACTAATTTAATTATTAAAACATAAGTATCATTTACTGCTTTGTACAACCACTTAATCAAATTAAAAGAATAGTGTTGTCTTCATTATACACACTTCTTGAAAATTTCTCAACTAAGAATGTGATCACAAATTTAAACTATCTCACAATATATTTTAATCATATAAACACATAAATCAACATGTATTATTTCACTTATCCTTCAAGGATTTCACACTTTCCTTCTAAAGTTTTCCACTTACTTCAATCAAAACAATATCAAATACTCACTTACAATTCAAAGTTTCTTTTTGACAATTTATCAAACACTTAGATTGCACCATTGATCATACAAAAATCTGCATTTTCTTGGCTTATATATATTCCCTATATTTTTGTTTCCAACTTACATAGACTTCAAACAACCAATTATCAACCATGATTCATAAACTCTTCATCATTTTTATAAATACGTAACATCGAAACAGCCCCCAAACAATCATATAAATTCACTTGTAATTTCTAATCTAACACATCAAATAAGTATAAATTACTAAGGCTAACTTACCTATTCACAAAGAACAACTCTTAAACTTCAAACCATGTAAAAATAAAAATAAAAATCCTTCTTTTTAAAAAAAAAATAGGGTGCTGCTGTATGAAGAACAAAGAAGGTTTTTCAAGCTTCTTTACAAACAAATAATGGTAGAAATGAAATCCTTACATAAAAACCTACAAGTTTCATGAAGTCTCTGAGTTAAAATTATCACTAGAACCTTACCTTTGAGTGTGCCCTTCCTCCTTTGTGTTATTCGAACTCTTGCCAAGAACTTAGTGCAGCGTTCCTTTCTTTCAGAAGCAGGGAGAAGTTTCGCATATTAAAAGCCCACTAGGCTTTAGTCACTTTTAAGTTATATATGTTTTAACTACCCTTTTTCTTATTGGTTCTTTATAAAGGAAATTACTTTTAACTTTTGATTTCTATTTTTCTTTTGCTTCTTGCGTGAGCAACTAATGTGAAGATATAATCCTCTTGTTTCTACTTTCTACTACACGTACAAGAATGATTCTTTTTTTTAAAAAAGTTATGGCATGCTTTTAACTTTGCTTTGATCTCATTGGTTCCTTTTGTTAATTAAACCAAGTCAAACTTTTCTCAATATATTTTTTTCTCCTAATGTTATCACATCAACGCATAAAGGAAAGGTGTGTCCAACAAGTTTATCCATTTTCTTGTTATTTTAGTTCTTATTGGCTCCTTTCTTCAAGACTTAGTCAAAGCATTGAATGGTTATTTTCTTTTCTTCCTAATTACTTTTTTTTTTTTTTTTGGAAATAATTCTTCCTAATTACTTGCAACACTAAACAAAACAAGAAAAATGTGACAAAGAATCCTTAGCAGCGTATAGCAACTTGGAATTGTAAGCAACAAGTCTATGAATTAATTTGGTTAAACTTGGTAACCAAGTATTCAATTTTACCAATATTATTTATTAACATAAAAACTATAATTCTTTAATTATACATATTAATCCAAGCATCAATTAATTAATTTAAAGATACTAGAGTCTACTAGTTTTCATGTACTAATTAATATTCAACCTAAATCATATTTAGGCCTAATTATCAAATAAATCTAAACTTGCTTCGTAAATTATTCATATTCTTATTTATATTTAATAATTATTTTTGAGTCTTATTAAACATATTTAACATAACTAATAACATCTTATTAATTATAATCTTAATCAAATAATTTGTGCTAGACTTGTGTATTGGCATAGTATTGGCAAAAATATAAAGAAAGGAAAGTAAACAATAAAATGTGTGCTTATGAAATAATCATGGCATAATATCATTTTATTGATGCATTGGAAATTATTCTCTAGGTGTGCCTAGGGATTGAGAAGGAACGGAATTCTTTTGAAGCAATATAAATATTTGCGCAACAAGTGAAGGTATTGGTAAAGCTTCAAGAGGTAAGCTCTATGTTTAAGGAGTCTTTTCCTACTTGAGTGCTCCACCATGGTTAGTGAACTGTGGTTGGACTATATGACTGTTGTTGATACCCTGTATAGGTGCATTCATATAGAGTGAATTGATGATATGATTTGATATGATATGATATGATTTGATATGATATGATATGATTTGATATGAGACGATATGATATGACTGGGTATGATATGAGTTCTATATTGACTTCTGGTACACTGATGTCTTCTTGGGGTTTTCCTGAGATTGACAATGTACACCTCTGAGATACTCTGGTTCCGCTTGGGGTCATCCCTTGGGAACACGTGCGTTGAATTCCGCTTGGGGTCATCCCTTGGGAATTACAGCGCACACCTCTGTTATGATATGGTTATATGTTCTATTCTGTTATGATATCTGTTATATGTTGTACTGGTATACTCTGTATCTGACTTTCATGCAGGAGTGAGCCAGGGGTATGGAGAATTCTCTATAAACCTGGAGCTTACTGAGATTTGAAATCTTACCCCTCGTTGGGGCAACATTTTCAGGTGCACATACTTCCGGTGAGCCTTCGTTAGGCAGGGACACGACACGGGGCTGAGACGTTTGACGGATCAGTATTTTGAGTAGCTGTAGGCTACTAATCTTTTTTGAGTGTACCTATGTATTTCGTATTTCCGTAGTGATGGATCATTATGTTAGATCCTGTATTTTGTATATGGCCTGTATATGTCTTGTACATGTCATTCAGTTGATGCATGTACCTTTTGTATTCAGGCATGTTGATATGACTATGTAGTATTCAGTTATGTTTCTGTATTGGACTGAATGCTGTTAGATTAGTGGCACGGAGCCAATTTCTGCATGCGCCCATGGATGGGTATCTGATTATATTGCATGACTGGTACTTCTGAATATGAATATTCTTGAAACTGTCTATCAGGAACTCTTGGGAGTGGGATTGGAAAATCCCCAGTTGTCCGATTTACAGAGGTTTATCTGTCCGATTTTTGGTTATGCTTTATATGAAGTTAAGAAGAAAAAGAAAAAGTTAGCCCGTATTTCCGTAAGATAAGTCTTCCGCTGTATCTGTTTATATCATATGTATATTAATTGAACCGGCTCGAGACGGGGATGTTACAGCAGGCGAAACCATTTCTTTACAAGAAAAACTATTTTCTACACTTTTAGGAGAAGGTGTGAAAATTAACACAGCGAATGAATTGCCCCATTATGTTATAAGGAGGCTTGGTCGTATGAAGGTTCTTATTGTTCTTGATGATGTAAATGATCCAAATCAACTAGAAGTTTTAGTTGGAGATCATGATTGGTTTGGAACTGGTAGTAGAATCATTGTAACAACTAGAGATAAGCAGGTGTTTGCTAACGAAGTTGATGATGATGATATATATGAGGTAGGGGATATAATACCCCAAACTTAAGCATTTAATTGATTAATTTTAATTAAATAATTAAGCATATTTTAGTGAGTAAAATTAAGTATAAGGCTTAATTAAATGAATCTGAGTCACTTGGAGTTAAAAAGTGTACTCAGTGAAAATTAAGGGGTATAAATGGGTACAGGCGAAAGTACCCAAAATATAAAAATAAAATAGTAATATTCCTAGAATAATATTCCAGACTTTTGGGTAAAGTTTGGTAATTAATGGAGTTGAATAGATAGACGAACAAATACCCGCTTAAAGTCACTTAACATAAGTTAAGTGACCAATGCAACAAAAGAAACCCAATTGTCCCTCCCCAACCCGTCGTGCAGAAGAGAGGAAAAGAAGAGAAGAAGGAGAAGAGGGGAAAAGGAAGAGGAAAGGAGAGGGAGAACCCTAGGTGGAGCAATCCTCAACCAAATCCATCCGTTCAAAAGCCTAAACCACTCTAAATCTTCTCCTCTTTCATAATCCAAGCTTAGTTTTGAGTGGGGAGCATTGTGGAGAGGGATATTGCCCCTCAAAAATTCGGCCCTTTGTGAGATTTTGGGGTTTTGGGGGTTTCTACCTCCATGGAAGCTTGAGGAACACTCATTCCTCTATTGTGTGATCATTGGTGGTAAGTTTCCACTCTCTTTCACATGATTCTTGGAGATTTGCATGAGTTTAGGGTTAATGAATAGTGTTTTAGGGTTTTTATGAAATGTTGAGTAGATTGGCTATGTTCAAGGAAGAATGAGGCTTAGAGTATGTTGTGAAAAATGCTAGGAATGACATTTAATCGGTAGAAATGAGTTTATAGTGTTATTTTAGTATGCTTTGATGTTTGGAGAAATCTAGGCTTGGAACTATGGATTTCCTTGCATTGTTAGCATTGTTTGATTGTATTCCTTGTGTTGATAGGATTGAGGCAAGAGGACCAAGTGGAGTGACCAACCCTTGGGGTTGTGTGCAATTGAGGAAAGCTCAAAGAGCAAGGTAAACCTTTGGACCTTGTGGTTGATCCCATTGAGTGTTCCACCATACTCCGTTGAGGAGAAATGGTTTATGAGATGTGATATGTAATTATGATAGTGATTGTATGCTCATGCATTGATTCATGCATTGATACATGTTATGATTGATTGATGATTATTGGTTGATGTTTGATTGTTTAAGAGTAATTGAGGAATGATTATAGAAGTAGTAATAATGAATGAGGTAATGGTTGAGGATGATTGGTAGGAACTTCCCTTGGAAACAGCCCTATGTGGATCTCCATGTGGTTAGAGCCTAAGAGGAACAGCCCTATGTGGATCCCTCTTGGAGGTTCCTAGATTGAGGAAAAGACTTCCCTTGGAAACAGCCCTAGGTGGATCTCCATGTGGTAAGAGCCTAAGAGAAACAGCCCTTTGAGGATCTCTCTTTGAATAGATTGAGGAAAGGACTTCCCTTGGAAACAGCCCTATGTGGATCTCCATGTGGTAAGAGCCTAAGAGAAACAGCCCTTAGTGGATCTCTCTTGGAAGTCCATGTGATGCTTGCTGATAAGAATGTGTTAAGCTATTATGATTATGTGTACATCAAAGTGAACCTTAGGGTGGAGTGATCTCCAAGGACCTCTGGTTTACTGTGATATATTCGTATATCTCACCCCGTGTTGTGGGGCATCATTTCAGGTACTGATAGAGGTGAGGTTGATCGAGGCAAGAAGCATGAGTAGACTGTACCTGATAGCTGGACATGTTGAGTTGCATGCCATTTAGCATTGCTATATGCATATTTTGATGTCATATGATGTATTTTGGAGGACTTAGTGCATGATCATTGTAGTAGTAATGGGTATCTGATACATGGTTACTTGCTTTGATCATGTTCATTTTGTAGCTAAGTCCTTTGGCATGTATATGAGATTTGTAATTAAGACATGATGTAATATTGTAAGTAATGAAGATATTTGTGTATGATGATTACTGTAAGTTAAATGCATGAATGTATTTTTATGTATTGGATATGTTGAGCTGGAAAGTCAATTAGGTACCTTGTGCTAAGTTGGGAAACGTTGAGAAAACAAAGGTTATGCTGCCCAATTTCCGTTAAATCAATGATGAGAGGATGAGAGTTAAGCAATGATATAGGGATATCACAAGCTTGTTAAATAGGTTGTAAAATGTGTAGGATTGATTCCCCAAGAAAGATACATGAAAAATATGAGTATAGGAAATTGCCCAGAAGAGGGGGCTTAAGCCTGCAAATGGAGGCTTAAGCCTGCTCAGGGGGCTTAAGCGCCCAGGAGGGGGCTTAAGCGCCCTGATGCACCTGTGAAGACCAAAAGCTTTCTGCCGCCTGGGGCTTTAGCGCCCAAAATGGGGGCTTAAGCGCCCAGGTAGCGCGCTTAAGCGCCCTGGAGCGAGCTTAAGCGCCCTTGGTGGCTAAAAAAATGTAAATTCCTTCTGTCTGTGGGCGCTTAAGCTCCCTGGAGAGCGCTTAAGCGCCTACCCGCGTAGTTTTTCAGCATACACCTGAGTTAGTAAAATTGTCATAACTTGAGCTACAGAGCTCCAAATGAGGAGCGGTTTGAAACCACGCGTAGCTAACGAAGAGATCTACAATATAGTAGAAGTTGGGAAATAAATAAGAAGTAAATTAATGTTTTAAAAATGGAATAAGAACATGATGTTAAGCTTGGTTTATCTGATTCCGCAAGGTAATACGGTTATGATCACGAAATTGGGTATTATAAATTCGGCATGTTTTAAAATGAAAAATTTATCCGGATTTTAATTGAACCCATGTGATTGTAACTGCGCTTAATATCATAATGCGATGTTAACAAACCGGTTCTAGAATGGGGTGTTACATTTTATGGTATCAGAGCAGTTTCGTAGGGAATAACTGTTAGCTATTGTTGAGTATGCTTAGTGTTTGATGCTTTATAGTTGTTTTAGTACTCTTGATGATTATTGCATTTGTGATCACTAAGTGTGGGCCTGATCAACTCACTTCTTTGTGTAACATGTGTAGTGACATGACGAGGAACCGAAACAACCCCGGACCATCAAACACCAATGCTCAGCCAGAACCTGTTTTGGCTGCTCTTGTGAGGCCCAGAAGTGGCCGTGGGGCAACGGGCGTACCGCCTGATCCCGTGGCTGAAGCTCTTGCAGCCGTTCAGAGAGAGTTGGCTGCTAGCAGGCAAGCCAATGAAAATTTGTTAAAGACAAATGAAGACTCGCGGACTGCTATGGCCGCGATGATGACCGAGTTGAGGACGTTGAGGGGTCCTAGGCCCGTGAACTGGCAACCCACTCCTCCTCCTCACACTGCTACGCCTTCTCCACCTCCTTCACAGGAAGAGGGTGTAGCAGGTAACAATGAAGGTGAGGCTAGCCACCATTCTGATAGTCATAGCCATCACACTGAGGTCCGTCAACCACGTGTTGAGCGTGTTGACGAGCATGAAGCTGAAGAAAGAAGATTGATGGCTTTCCGAAAACACAAACCTCCCTCTTTTAAGGGAGGTTATGAGCCAATGGCGGCTGCGAAATGGCTCCAAGCTATGGAGAAGATATTCAGGGTGATGAGATGCCCTGACGCAATGAAGTTAATCTACTCTGTTTATATGCTGGAAGAGGAAGCGGAAGATTGGTGGACCAATACCGTGCAGCCATTAGAAGCTGAAGGCCGGGAAATCACCTGGCGGTTGTTCGAGACATTGTTCTTGGATAACTATTTTCCTAGGGAGGCTAGGGAACAGAAACAGAATGAGTATAACGATCTCAAGCAAGGGTCGATGACAATTGACCAATATTTCGCCAAGTTCAATGAATTGGTGAAATATGCTAACTATGGGAGAGCCTTACCCATTCCGGCCGAGATGACCTCTAAATTTCAATGGGGTCTAAATGAGAAGATGTCTCGAAAGATGTCAAATTGTGACATCCGAGAGTTTAGTAGATTCGTGAACCAATGCCGGAAGGTGGAAGAAGTTTATGGTGTGCTGAAAAGTAAGAAGTCTTCCGAGGCACAAGCATCTGGTGCTAGTGGAGCAACTGGCTCTACTTCAGAAAAGGGTAAGAAGATGGATGACAGGAGTATTAAAGAAAGATTACAAGCTAAACAATCTGAGGAAAAGTTTAAGAGAAGCGGGAGTCAACAGAGTTGGGACAATGAAAGACCTCTTGTGCCCCAGTGTGACAACTGTGGGAGGCATCACAAGGGCGTTTGTTTGATGGGTCAAAACGTATGTTTCAAGTGTGCTAGACCTGGTCACTATGCGAGGGATTGTCCCCAGATCGTGGGACGAGTTGCTCATGTGCAAGTGGTCTATGACCCTTCAGCAGCGGCAAATGTTAGCACTTCGACCCAACCCCAGCTAGAGAGGTTCCCACGCTTGACGGGAGGTATGACGCATGTAGATTAATATGACATGCATAGTTTATTGAGGTTGGAGCCACACATGCTTAGACTGTGAACTCAATTATGATTGTGTGATTCGTTATGTCTAGTAATTAAAGACTAGACTATCTATGGATTGCTAAAAGATCGTAAGTTGTATGCAATGACCTTTCCATGGATGTAGTGGTAGTATTACCTCCATGAGGATAGTATCCTATGAGATAGAGAATTCTCGTTAAAGGTCTGGATTGAGGGGAACTTCCCTTGGAGTTAGCCTTCGGGACCTCCTTGTGGTCAGATACCTAAGAGAAACAGCCCATAGCGGATCTCTCTTGGAAGTTCCATCAGATGAGATTTTATGTATGAGGTTATTAGTAGGACCGCAGAAGGTCAGGGTTAAATATCAAGTGAATAGGTATGACCCTTGAGGAAAATGAAAGATAAAAGTGCTTGAACATATTAGTATCACCTAATTATAAAACATAGATTGAATCATGAATGAAACATTTCATCTTATGATAAGATGATGAGGAAAAGAGGAACTGATTAATAGGGTAACTTCGGGAACACAAGAAGAGTTCTCCGATAAATCCATAGATGATTGAATGAGTGGTTTTGTCGATTTTGAGGACAAAATCGTTAAAAAGGTGGGGTGAATATAATACCCCAAACTTAAGCATTTAATTGATTAATTTTAATTAAATAATTAAGCATATTTTAGTGAGTAAAATTAAGTATAAGGCTTAATTAAATGAATCTGAGTCACTTGGAGTTAAAAAGTGTACTCAGTGAAAATTAAGGGGTATAAATGGGTACAGGCGAAAGTACCCAAAATATAAAAATAAAATAGTAATATTCCTAGAATAATATTCCAGACTTTTGGGTAAAGTTTGGTAATTAATGGAGTTGAATAGATAGACGAACCAATACCCGCTTAAAGTCACTTAACATAAGTTAAGTGACCAATGCAACAAAAGAAACCCAATTGTCCCTCCCCAACCCGTCGTGCAGAAGAGAGGAAAAGAAGAGAAGAAGGAGAAGAGGGGAAAAGGAAGAGGAAAGGAGAGGGAGAACCCTAGGTGGAGCAATCCTCAACCAAATCCATCCGTTCAAAAGCCTAAACCACTCTAAATCTTCTCTCTTTCATAATCCAAGCTTAGTTTTGAGTGGGGAGCATTGTGGAGAGGGATATTGCCCCTCAAAAATTCGGCCCTTTGTGAGATTTTGGGGTTTTGGGGGTTTCTACCTCCATGGAAGCTTGAGGAACACTCATTCCTCTATTGTGTGATCATTGGTGGTAAGTTTCCACTCTCTTTCACATGATTCTTGGAGATTTGCATGAGTTTAGGGTTAATGAATAGTGTTTTAGGGTTTTTATGAAATGTTGAGTAGATTGGCTATGTTCAAGGAAGAATGAGGCTTAGAGTATGTTGTGAAAAATGCTAGGAATGACATTTAATCGGTAGAAATGAGTTTATAGTGTTATTTTAGTATGCTTTGATGTTTGGAGAAATCTAGGCTTGGAACTATGGATTTCCTTGCATTGTTAGCATTGTTTGATTGTATTCCTTGTGTTGATAGGATTGAGGCAAGAGGACCAAGTGGAGTGACCAACCCTTGGGGTTGTGTGCAATTGAGGAAAGCTCAAAGAGCAAGGTAAACCTTTGGACCTTGTGGTTGATCCCATTGAGTGTTCCACCATACTCCGTTGAGGAGAAATGGTTTATGAGATGTGATATGTAATTATGATAGTGATTGTATGCTCATGCATTGATTCATGCATTGATACATGTTATGATTGATTGATGATTATTGGTTGATGTTTGATTGTTTAAGAGTAATTGAGGAATGATTATAGAAGTAGCAATAATGAATGAGGTAATGGTTGAGGATGATTGGTAGGAACTTCCCTTGGAAACAGCCCTATGTGGATCTCCATGTGGTTAGAGCCTAAGAGGAACAGCCCTATGTGGATCCCTCTTGGAGGTTCCTAGATTGAGGAAAGGACTTCCCTTGGAAACAGCTCCTAGGTGGATCTTGGAAACAGCCCCTATGTGGATCTCCATGTGGTAAGAGCCTAAGAGAAACAACCCTTTGAGGATCGTACTGATAAGAGGTGAGGTTGATCAAGGCAAGAAGCATGAGTAGA